GTTAGAAAAGGCTTTCTGAGCGGCCACCTGAAGCTGGGGAAGAGAGAAGTCACTTAATATACTGAGAGAGCATTGTTTGTGTGGGATCCAGGACGTGGGCGTCTTTACAAGAAAAGGGTTGGCTGCTGAAACAAGCAAAAGCAAGCCCTCAGCCAAGAGTGCAACTACTATATGTAAAATCAAACCACCTCAAGCAAATGCAAAAAAAGGAGACTAAGAGTAGCGTCCATGAAATAATAAATTTAACAAAGTCAAGGTGGTGGCAAAGATAGGAAGGAACATAAGTTCCTTTTGTAGCAAAACCCATTTTATTTTTCCTTTGGTGGATTTCTGCTCTAGGATAGAGATGAGAAGGTACTTTTTGGCAAGGATCTTCTGTAATCTGGGTTTGAAGTGAGCTATCTGAATATTTGCTTTACCTGCTGCTGTGTTTTGTACTGCATTGTGTAACAAGCCATTTTGACCAATTTTTAAAAATAGGAAATAGGTAGCTTTAGAGAAGGAGTCCTATCAAAATATAAAAAGTTCCTAGGTAGAAAAGACAAGCTGGGATCTTAATTAGAAAGGACTTGCTTAGTTCCATAGAGGAAGGTGACAGTTATAAGCTCCTCGACGAAATCTGGGTTATATAGGGATTCCCAGCTTGTACTGATGAGTAAGGGTTAGTGGTTTGCCATTGCTTTTTTTTCTAGGGCTGAAAAGAATGATTGGCCCAAATTCACCCAGAAATTCACCTTAGTCACACCTAAGGCAGGACTAGAATTCACAGTCTCCCAATTTCTAGCTTGGTGCCTTTAATTATTACACCAGATTGGTTCTTCTTATATGCTTAGATCAGTTCAGTAATATTTTCTTTTGCAAAATGGTATATGTGCTCATTGCCTGTGATTCTCAGACCAATAATAAACAATTGAGACTGTGGTTATCATATCTTTTAATGATAGGCCCTTCCCTCTGCGTGGGCAGCTGTATTGACAGAAGGAGGGCCACGTAAAATATGGGAGTGCTTGGAAAAGACTCAAGATTTATATGTGTGTGTATCATCTATTTAAAAAACAAAACAGCTTTAGGGGAAAATAGCCTAAAACAAATAGAAGAGTTTGTGTGTGTGTGTGGAGGAAAGCCAAAGGGGGATGAAGTATATATGCTAGGCCTGTAAATCCCTTAAATGAGTTTCAAATGCAGCCCTACCCTTCCTGGCTAGCCAATACTTCTGGAGATCTCTCTGCGCTTCCTTCAAGTACAGGAAACAATTTCTCATCTACCTCGCCTGGGTGGCAGGAAACTTTACCTTGCATGCCTCACCCCAGCAGAGTTTAAAGTCCAAGATTTCTGTCTTCCAGAAAATTTCAAGATGCCATGATCAAAAGAGAAGCATAAGTTCCTTTCTTGGCTTCCAGCCTTGCAAAACAGAAAGAGGATCCTTACCATAGAAAGATACTGGAGCCTGAGCACTAAGGCGTAGTTTGATTATGTTTTAGTGGGGGTTTTGTATGGGGTATTTTTAGAGCAGGCCTGTTATTTAATTTGATTTTAGAACAGAAACTTGCGTATATTTATCGTGGTTTTTATTATCGCCTGTTCACCGCCCTGAGTCCCGTAAGGGAGATAGGGCGGTATATAAATTCAATAAATAATAATAATAATAATAATAATAATAATAATAATAATAATAATAATAATAATAATAATAATGAGAAGGAGAAGGAGAAGAAGAAGAAGAAGGAAGAAGAAGAAGAAGAAGAAGAAGAAGAAGAAGAAGAAGAAGAAGAAGAAGAAGAAGAAGAAGGAGGAGGAGGAGGAGGAGGAGGAGGAGGAGGAGGAGGCAGGCCCATTTAGCTGTTGTTGCATCTCAAAAAGCCATGCCCTCCTAGTTAATTATTTTATAATATGTATAAGTAAAAAAATATTGGGTTCTTTATATTAAAGCAGTTTTTAATGTTCCTTTTTAATTGTCACAAAGATTTCCTAATTACTTCAAAAAAAAATTCCACCAAAAAAAAAAGAAAAAAAAGAAAATTGAAACTCAAATATTTGTGTTTGTTTGTGAATATCAAATAGTATAAAAATGTATACATGGACATTTAATGTCGTTCCCAGTTATTTTTAATATCTTTTGAAAGATATTCTGTAATGAGTGTGATCTTTCTGAAAAGTTGTCTCTTTAATTTGGCGTAACACATCTCTGCAAAAATATAAAGACAAATTCATTTGGCCCTGAATACTTTGTTCTTGGCAACAACTTGGATGCCAATTACGTAATACTCCAAAAAGTAATAATTAAATAAGCATTTATATAGCAGGGAATTCTAATTAGTGGACTCTGCAGAAATTTAGATTGTATGTTCCAATTTAGATTCCTAATTTTATAATTTTTTCCTATTGTCAGGTAAACTTACACTTCATGTTACACAGTAAAACTGCTGTACACATATATTTTATGTACAACTGATTTGTTTGAATATAAAATGGGTAAAACAGTAAAAGAAAGAAATAAGAGATTTTTGTGAAATGCTTTTCCCTTTTTTTTGGGGGGGGGGAACATAAGGAAAAAGAAAAGCCAGCACAGTCAATATAAAAACGATGCTTCCTTTCTGGTAGGGGCAGAATAGAAAATCTAGTAATGTCTCACTATGTCAGCACAAGCTGCTTTCTCTAAAAAGGAGAGTCTGTGGAAGACCAACCAAGGCTGAGCCATTTCTGATTACAGCAGCTGCTTAACAGCCAATTCCATTCAAGACCACTTCTAAGCTGCAAACTTAATTCTTCAGTCCTGGACCCATTGAGACTTGGGCTCAAAGGAGAAAGCAATTTTGTGTTCTGTTTTGTCACAGACAGAATTTTGTTAGCAATTCAAGTTAACATTGGTATTCTTGAATTGTGAGCTCTTAGGAAAGTATCCCCTCCTTGTGTGTTGCAAACAGCCATTTCCAGTGGGGAAAACAGGACAAAGCAGAGTGGGAAAAATATTTTCTTTTGCAGGGTCCCCACAGAAGAGCCTTTTTAAAGATTATGTATAGAAAACCAACATAAAAAACAGAGGAGCTCTGAGAAGCATCGAGAAATGTTTCCCTTTTGCATTTGAGCATCCAAGAAGGGACAGGAAAGGAGAAAGGGAAAGAGGAAATAAAGGGGGAAAAAAGGAAAGAGGGGAAGAGAACAAGGAAGGAAGAAGGAAAGAGGGAAAGGAAGAGAAAGGAAAGGATAATGAAGAGGGAAGGAAGAAGAAGAAAAGGGGGAAAGGAAGGAAGGGAATTATAATGAGTGAATGGGAGGATTTGAGGGAAGTCCTGCCTTTGCACTTGGCCACGAACAGCCCAGCTGCCCTTTCGCCATTCCCTTGTCCCCTCCTCCTTGACCTCTCCTGGTGGTCTCCCATCCTATTGCTGAGGATGCTTTGGTTACAAAACCGGGACTCCTCGCATGGAGAGGGAGTGGGCCTTTCTGAAGGCTTTGCCTTTCTGCACACCCCATGAGCAACCTGGCCAAGAAGAGCAAGCCAAGCAGCAGAAGCCTTGAGGAGGCAAGCACAGCCGGGTGCCCCCTTGGGGAAGGCTGGGCTTGGCACTTGCCCTCTACTGCCCAGGGCTCCCTGTACCACCAGGGATCCTCTGTGGGGCCTGAGAGGGATGACAAGGCTCCTCTGGTGGACAAAGGTATGGTGCTTACCATAGTCTCACCTTCCTCTGTATGGATCCCTTTCAGCCCCACCTGGGCCACCACAGGTGCCCCCCCAACATGAGCGACATCGAGCTGGCCATGCTCACTCCAGCCACGCCCATTCCAGCCATGCCCCCCGAGATCAACAACAACCCTGATGCGGCCCTCAATGAAATAGAATTTGATACCCCTGCTCTTATTCCTTCTAATTAACATTTACTGTATATGAAGCTCCTGTGAGGTTATCCATTGTACGGGTCAGGTATAATTGGCATGCTGATTATATAGCTCAGTATCATGTGCATCTTGAGCTGTGGACAACCAACTCATACCATAAAATATTTGAATCAATGCTCCGAGATTATAGGGCAATGCATTTAAGCTCAACCCTAGCAAGACAAAGTAAATACTGATGTGGGTATGAACTTCCAGTTCTGGGAACTTTGTATCTCTAATTCTAAATAAGGTTACATTCCCCACATGGAACTGATGTACAATTTGAGGTTCTTGGACTCCTGCTCAAAATTCCTAGTCAAAGAACATGTGATAGCTGTAGCTAGGAAGGCCTTTCTCACATATTTGTCTTGTACACCAATTGCATCTGTTCCTGGATTGGGATGCTCTTCTCATAGTCCCTTCTGCTTTGATTAGCATAATTGCAAGCCTGCTTTTCTTTAAATACGGCTTAACTATTTCACCAGGTTTGGGGATAGGGTAGCTTATGATCTCCCTTTGTGAGATGTTCTTATGTCTGTTGCGTTTGAATGACCATCTTCCCGTTGCCTGATAATTGTTCTTTCTGTGGTTTTCAACTTGTACACTATCTCTGAGAAATTGGACAGCTTTAGAATTATAAATCATAAGGACAAGCATTGTAAATACATTTTCAATAGAGATGCAAAATATGGGTGTATGTAAGGCTGTGTCTTTAAAGGAAATTTTATTCTCAAAGTAGTATAACAATTTAAGTATAGTTTATAAAATAAAAAGGTCCCTTATTTTAAAAAAGAAAAGAAAACATTTGTGATAATTGCAGGATATTTGCTAAAATGTTTGCTGTTGGCATTTAGAATATGTAACTTCTTAATTCCTTTGAATTTTGAAAGATGTTTTTAAAAGATGATTTGGGATTTCTAAGTAGCCACGTAGCTACTTAGGTATTGTGATTTGTTTTCTGCTATAAGGTAATATGTTTTCTTCAAGAAAAAACACTTTTAATTGTCTAGCATAGAAAGAGGTAATCATCAATACCCATAAGCTCTATCAGAACAAATGCTTAAAAATTAACATTTAATACTTCTTTTCCTGGGATTTGTTTTTTAGTAACATACCAAAAATAAGAGATGGCAGTAATGGAAATAGCTTGCCAGGACCATACAGAGCCAGCTACTGGATCTCCAAAGGATCTCCTAATGGGCAAAGGGCCAGAAGAAGTAGTGAGTGAAAAGAAAAGCAATGTTTGCAAAATAGAAGAGCCAGATAAAAAGATGTTTCATGGATCATGGAAGATCCTTAATGATGTGATTGCTAAAGGAACTGCCAAAGAAGACAGCGGAGAAGGGAGTTTAGCCTCAATCTCCATCATTGCCCAGGCAGAATGTAAGTGGAAAATAATATATTAATGAAAGGAGGAGCTGAAAGTGTGTGTGTGTGTGTGTGTGTGTGTGTGTGTGTGTGTGTGTGAGAGAGAGAGAGAGAGAGAGAGAGAGAGAGAGAGAGAGAGAGAGAGAGAGAGAATGTTAATGTTTATGTAAGTATAACTTTCTTCTGGAAAGATCAATTGGTAGCCTTCTAATGGATTTTCAGTGTTAATAAGGACATTCAATTGAATACCACGATGATTAAGGGAGAAGTGCTTTCTGAATATTAATTGCTCTTAATTCACTTTTCCATTTCTCCTGGCATTTCCATCTCTCTCTATAATTCTGAGTCTGAATTCTAGTAGAAACCTCTAACTTTGAAAGTGTAAGTGATTTAGAATAAATACTTAGAATAGAATTAAAATAAACCCTTGACTTAACAGACCACTGGGGACAGGAGCATCTGCTATATCTGAATGTTCATGAAATGTTGAAAGGGAATTTATGCATGTGTTATACCATTGTATACAAGCTTAGTAGTTATGTAACAACTAATGTCAAATGGAATTCAATGCATGCATAACATGGCATTACATGTACAATGCTGAACAGGTTGTGTTGCATCTGAAGTCCACTATATTAAGATCTGATAAACTGAGATTTTAATATAATTTAGGCACGTCCCAAAAAACCACTCTTAAATTCAGAAGTAGTCTGAATTGATTGATATTTACCATCAATTTGTTTTTGACTCCTAGAAACCAAATAGATTTTCTCCAGGACTGTGCTATTATATATATATCTAAGTCTAGATTTCTATTGGATATTTGAAACAAATTGTGCTATTCTTTAGATTCTAGCTTGACTATTTTAACGTAATATTTGACTCCCCCCTTCTCAATCCTCTGAAATACATTTGCAGTCTTCCTTTATGTTTTCTTGATATTTTATCAAATTTTAACTCTCTAATACTGCTATTCTTTGATCAGAAATGTGGATATAAATTGAACACAATAATAATAAATGGCCTCACACTTTAGTGAATCTGAGTTCTGTAAATGTTTGTGATTTTGATGTTTCTTGCTTCATTATGGCATGTTTGGACTTCTTTTTTAAAAACTTTCTTCAGGTGAGATAAGCCAGGAGTTCAGTCCCACCTATTCAGAGAGGCCTTTTATTGCTCACACAAAACGATATAGGTAAGTTCTCCTTCGTAAAATGCAAAACCACAACACCTTCACCTGCTCCTTACCCCCAATTCACTTGCATAAAAAGAGGAGACTCCTTTGAATCCATGTTGGAAGGAATGTATCCACACGGGGGGGGGGCAACAAAATATTCAGGGGCTGGGCTCTTCAACCATATTTTGATGACTGCTATCTTGCTTGTTTGATTCATGCCCCCCATTCAGCAGAGGTCATATATTCCACTTAATTCCACTTTTTATCCTAGACTGGTATCCAAACCATTGTGCTAGAATTACCAAATTTCATTCTTCAGAATTTTCTGCATTACGTAACAAAATATTTGTTAAAATGCTATCTTTGAAATTGTTCTTTGAAGATTGTCAGGACTTGGCAATTCCTGGTAAGACACATTGTATACAGTACCACTGCAGATGTAGCATAATTTGCATAAGGTCTTAGTTCTTATGGTATAATTACAGAGTGGTCTTGCAGATTTTCAGCAAAACTGGAGTAGCAAGGCTAAATTTTATAAGCAACATTCAAGTAAATTATTCTGTGATTGTGAAAAAGTTTAGAATTGTTGTTTTAAAAGAAGGGAAAGATAGGGAAAGAATCAATATTATTATGAAAAGGAGCCATTGCTTGACTCCTTGGATTTTGTATTTTGAAAAAATAAAATATTTCGATTGTGACATGAAGCAATAATACCAGCAGAATAAAATGTTTCTTGGACAGCCCCCGTCCCCATGTATTCTGTTTCTTGTTATTCACAGTCCTTTTCTTTTCTGTTATGTCTAAGTTTGCCTTTTGCCCTCATCACTCCAAAATATCAATCATTCAGAAAGTCAAACCAGTAAGGTTTATATAATGAATGTTTCAACATTGCTGTAAGCAAATAAATCCGGTGTCTGGTACGCCATGGCATTGCTTTCATTTTAATAAGGCTAAACTCTTTGGCTCACTTTTGACGCTCATATTAAAATATTGTTGAAGAGGAAACATCTGAGAAAATATGTGTTTATAGTGTTTCAATGTATGATTTAAAAATTATTTAGATATATAACTTTATTGGTGTATTTTGTTAGAAATTGAAGACGGAAGATATTACAAAATTAAATTTTAAATGAATACATTTTTCACAAATGTATTCATTCTTTAGTTTGAGAACTTATTTACTATGATTATTCCAAATGTTCTCAAGATCTTAGTGTGTGGCTTTCAGACCTGCTAAATGATTGTGGTTTTTGTGAGTTAAGCTAAAATATATCTGTAATACTACTTTCTGTCAGCCGGTCTAGCAGCCTTGATCAAATCCCCAATAATGTGGCTCATGCAACTGAAGGAAAAATGGCTCCAGGTTCCTGGAAGGCCTTACATCGCGGCAAATCCCGGAAGAAACAGCAAAAGAGAAAATCCTCCCTTAAAACATCAAAAAGAACAGCCTCCCTAATTCGAAAGCCAAGGACTCCGGAGCAGGAGAGCTGTGTACCTATACCTGTGCAGGTAGGGTATATTCTACACTGCTTCAAATCATGCTTGAATATAGCATTGATGATGGCTATAATGGAATTTAACCTCAACAGTGCCTGTTTTCTTTCTCAGAGACATATGTGTTTGTAGTTGTATTAACAATGCACAAATGAGCAACAGCTCAGATACCATTTTTCACCTTTATGAAATCTATCCTGTGGCAAAATGTGTTATAAGATGAGATCCTGAACAATTTGGAGGGGAAATTTTTAAAATTACTATCTACAATAGATGACATGTACGATGACAATACAAAAGAGGACAGAGATCACTAATGATTGCTTAGCAGTATGATTTTAGACCACTTTTTTATAATTTACCATGTCTGAAACATTTAGGACTTTAACTTCCATAAATCCCAGACGTTATTGGAATTGAGATCCAGCACACTAGAGTGGATAAATACATAAATATTTTTTTATTTATGAAACTTTTATTACACTTTTCTATTTCAAAAGCACTCACATCTTTCCCCTAATTCAATAAGTTGCTAAATATGGAAATTTGTTTGTCATGAAGCACATTCTTTTTTACCCTGTACATTAGTACATCTGATAAGTAATCATCTTGCCTCTAACACCCAGGGAGTCTTAGCAAGGGACACACCAGCAATTTCCCACCATCCTTCCTTTCTTCAGATTTAGAAGAATTTCAAAGATGTCTCTTGGTTGCTTTTTGATAGTGATGTTGCATTGACTAAACCCAATGCAGGAAGGGCATCTTACAAAAAAGTGTTCCAGTGTTGGTCAAACAGAGCATATAGTTATAAAAGCCAGCCAGAAATTGTGGAACTCTCTGTAATAATAATATTCAAAAATAGAATGGATTACATATTTAAAATTCTAGATAGTCCTCGACTTATTACCACAGTTGGGACTGTAAATTGTTGCAGTTGTAAGTTGAGTTGGATGTGAGTTTATGATAATTTTTACAGCAATCATTAAATGAATCACATGGTCATTAAGTTAATCCAGCTCCCCCTGTGGGCATTTTTGCTAGAAATTGGTAAAACACTCACAAATCCACAATCATGTCACTGTAGGACACTGCAAGTAGTGGTAAACAAAGACCCAAGAGTCCAAACTATGATCAATTAGTGCAACAGTCATAAGTGCAAATACAAGTCATTTTTTCCAAAGCTATTGTAAGTTGAACAACTGTTAAATGAATGATAGTGAGTCCAGGGCTACCTGTAAATCACTGGTTCATATTTATTTATAGATAAAGTTCATGTAAAACCATTCTTCCAAAATGTTAGAAATTCGTGTCCGTGGTTCCCAGCTTTTAGTTATTTTGCTTTTAACTAATTGGAATCTGACAATTGAGAAAATAGCTTCCCTAAGTATTGGTGGAGTTTAGAATGCAATCCTGGGTAGCTAACTAGTTCATTTTTCTTCCAGGAAGATGACTCTCATTTGGACACCCTCTTCAATATCACTTCATGGCATTCAGAACTATGTAAGGATTTCAGTTCTGATTTCAGTTCCTTTGAGAAACCAAGCCAAGTTTTATCTACTAGCAAGTTGCACATGATAAAGAACCAAGCAAAGCTAGAGTTACACAAGTTGATCAGCCCTGCTCAGTGCTTGAGTCATGTTTGGAAATCCTATACACAAGATAATTTGGGCTCTCAATTGGAAACTGTGCATCCCTGTCCTTCAAACAAATTTCCTCCTTATTTGTATGGCTGTAGCTATTTGCTTCCTGCTTTGAAACATGGCCCTCTGAAGACTTACCTTTTTGATGATCTTTCAAATGTGGATGATGAATGTTATCTTTCAGACTTGAATCTGGCACATAGCCTTTCCAAATGTCATCAGTCTGCAAAAAACACTTCAGATAATCTTTCTATGGATGAATTTCTAGTAGATGCATTGAAGGGTAATGTTATTCTTGGAGAACCAAGAAACCTAGCTTGTTTGGCCAAGACTTGGAAAGATGGATCAAGTTCAAAAGTGTGCCTACAGGAAATTAATGAAAATGAAGGAGTGTTGCTTACAGAGGTGAGCTTTTGAAAACTGTTAACAGAGTACCAATTGCATACTTAGTCATAGGTCATGCTGCATTCTGCAAAGTAAAGATAGGGATCATCACCTAGAACCATATTCCTCTAAATAGCTTGGTCAAAGACAAAACATGCATTTAAAAGTATTACACGACAAAGAACATTTGAATTAAAATATTTGAACCCGCATGGAGCAGGGGTGTTGTATCTTTCTATATTTTCCATAAGTGGGAAAACTACTAAAAATCTGGCATAGAAAGAAAAGGTGAGACTGCAGTTTTCCTCTCCATTAGGCTAGCTTTCTAAAGAAAATGAGTTTTTAAAGACAATGGGCACTATTTCTTATGTCTTGTGCTGGTATAACAAAGGAATTACTGTTATGATCTTAGAGTGAAAATTCATTTTAATGCACTTTAAGTTACTTTTAGTGAAAGAATTCATATGGGAGGTAGTAGGACCCTCCTTTGAAATGGAAATATTTTATCCCATCCCTCCCATCCTACTTATTTGAGCAATAGCAGAAGAAATTGCAGAGTTTGCATTTTATGTTAAACTTGGTTTTTTGGTTTTGATTTAGTATAATGTGTGAACAAAGTTGCAGTTTTTTTTATAAACTCCTGGTTTGTCACTTAGCAAATATAAATCCATCCTATTGTGACTTACTCAACAATCCATAGCAGACACAATCACTGGTGATTCACACAACATGCCATAATGGCTTGATTTGGTTTTGGTATTGAAATACAAGTGTTGTTTTTAAGGTTTATGTGAGAACTAGAGCACTTTTATTCAACAATAATAAAGCTGGAAATTTGGGTAGATAGACTGGTTTAGATTCTGGACATGTAGGAAGAGGTATATGATGACATAGCAGTTGTGATTTTTTTTCATGAAATTTATTGCCAATAGAAAAGGAGATGATCATTAGTTTCAGTAATGTTGAAAAGCATTACATAAATTCATGACTATAACCCTATGAAACCATAAAGTGTGAGTAACATGGCAGTAAGAATACTTTCAAATCCCAGTTGCTATTGTGTATACTATGAGGAAGACTGTTGTTCTGCTATGTTGTTAAGACTTTGTGAGCATGATGCTGGTATAACTTGGTATATTTTTGATGGTCATGATGTTTAAAGAGCATTTCATATGAGCATTTATTTTTTGAAAGTAAATTATTCATAGAAGCAGTTAATTGGAAGTGTTAAAATGTTTCTATGTAAGACAAGCATTTATTATAAATTATTTTTATTGCATGAATCTGCTCATAGAAATCCTATGTTTCTCACAGAGTCAAGGATGAAAGGGATATAGAGAATATTTCTTCCTATGGAAGATCCACTCCTCTGTTGCCCTTTAAAAGAACTGGGTAACTCCTGAATTCATATCACTTTTTCACTCCCTGTCCAGGGATCTTATTTTGTGATGCATCTTTATTCTTTCTCCAAATTGTGCTGTTTCCTAGGATTATGTAAACCACCTAGCTTTCTCACTGCAGATTCTGGGCATTTAAACTAGAATAGCTATAATTATGTGAATTGTAGTTAGTTCCAAAAAAAATGAAACAAAAGGAATTCTGTTCATAGTAAATTTCTAAGACTCAAGGATAGAGGAGAATCAGTAAACATGTGAACTAATGGCAGGATAATTTGGCTTTAAAAGGCAAGCTCCAAAATGTTTTTTTCACCTGTTCTTGACAATAATTTTGGCATCCTCTTTTCAAGGCCTCTTTTCCTCTTTTGTTTCCTGGTTGCTAATCTGCAGAAACTCAAGGCAGTCGATTATGAGTACCGTGAAGAGGTTCACTGGACCAAATCTCAAAGTTTGCTTGGCACAGGCACTTTTGGAGAAGTGTACAAAATGGAGGACAAGCAGACTGGCTTTCAGTGCGCAGCCAAAAAGGTACAGTGGTACATTATGCAAATCTGTTGCCTTCAAGGGAGGGAAAGCAGCATCAAAAAAGAGGAAATGAAAGTTGCTTCCCTTTTCAGTGGAACTGCTGAAGGCTGGAGCAGTCGAAGCAATGATGCTCTGCTGAAACTTGTTTGTCACATCCTCAAGGTCAAGCCAGAGGTCGTTGCCATGGTGACATCAAACTGCGGAATCTCTGGCTGGCTGTGAGTGTAACAGGCTGCCAGGGAAGGATCACTCTTGTGCAGCAGCCAAAATTGCCTGCGGAGGTGATTTTAGCTGCTTTCTTGCATGGCAGAAATCATTTGTACAATTTGTAACAGGGTCAGATATTAATAATAATAGAAGTTTCTTTAATCTAATCATTGAATCCTGGCAATTTTTCCTTTACAATATAGATGTAGTCAGTCTCGTCCAATGAAATGGGCTCCAGCCACAGCAGCTCATGTAATTAAAACATTAGTCTTAAAAATACCACCAATCTCTGTATTTGAGTACAGAGTATGGTGGGAGAGCATAAGTCTCAACTTTTATTAGACTAAAGCTGTAGCTTTAAGCTACTAGCTAGAGCTGATTTGTAGGTGCCTAATTCTTTTTGAGACACATAGTGTGCTTTGGTGGCATCTTCAGCAGCAGTCTAGATTTCCTCCTTGTAATACGTCATGCACTTTCACACTCTTATGTTTAATGCTGGTATTATGTTTAAGACCTGGGGGGGGGAGCTAAATTAACAAGTTGGAGAGCTCAGATGCCTGAAGCTTCTCTGATGTGTCTTGAGGCTATTATTTATAATTCCTTTTTTTCCTCTATGCTCTGAATTTTTGTTCTTTGTTTCATTCTCTGATCCAATAATTAGCAGCAACTAGCTAATGACTAATATTTTCCTTCTCTTTAGCAGTTATCCTCTTTTATAGATGTTTTGTTTTACCAGTCTTTATATAATCAGCTTTTATTTTAGCTTTTCTCTTATCTGTAACTATGGGCAGACTGTATTTTAATGTTTGGGTTGAAAAAAAAAGCTAGACAAAGAATATTTAGCTTCATTTGTACAAAAATCTACTAGGATATGTTTAGCCTAATTTTGAACTGAAGGCACAATGTGACGTTAGCTTTTAGATCCCAGCTTCTTTCAATGAGAACATATCACTATATCAAACAACAATATTGGCTTATTCTTGCTTGTTTGTCTTATTTGTTCAGCAGGCCACAGAGATGTAAGGTCAAAGAAATGAAAAACTGCTCTTGTTTTCTCCCCATCCTTTGCTCCTTCTTACTCTTTTTGGCACTTGTCATATTTGTATATCAATGTCTTTATCAAGACCTCTGCTTATGCCAGGATCTCTGTGTTTTTTGTTGGTGCTGCTTTCGATAACTTCCATGTTGAAAACGCAGCTTCAGTGGGACCAATAAAATATATCTTGTTGCCTAAGATGATGAGTAAAATTGCTCCCTTTCATGGGGATGTCGATCAGTTTAACTTCAGTACTGATAGTGGACACATCATTCTCTACTGCAAATCAGGACAACAAAGTAGCTTGGAACCAACAGTGCATACTGTATTGAACTGACAACTATCCTCAGTCATTTTACTACTATATTGATTTGCTGTATCTAATTGCTGCTTACTGTCTCTTTGATAAAATGCAATGAAATAGGGTATTATGTGTTATATGAACTGAGCAATATATGTACTAAAATTGATATAGTACCTGGGCTGGTTGTCTCTTTGTCTTTTTATTTGGATTAGGGATTTTCTCAATAGAATTGTCAAGCGCTAGGAATAGGCAGGTGGGAAGAGCATTTAGGCAGCGCAGCTAGCAATATAAAAGTATTGTTACTGCCACTAGTTCAGAAGGATGGGAATACCCAGAGAGAAGTGGTTGGCATTGCAGCAGTAACTTCTAAATACACTGCTTTTCTCTACAACTGAGTGGAAGGAAAAAAATAATCGGCACAGGGTTAGCCTAGGAAGAGAAGTAAGCTTGTTTAGTTTGTGTTAACAATTGTGGGAGATCACAGAGAGGATTCTTATTTCTTGTTTGTGCAAACAATTTATGGAAAGTTATCAGATAACATGAGGAAACAGTGCCAGCTCTTTATTACTGCTAAAAAAATTGAGATATTCAGATTCTGGAAGAAGAGATAGAGGGAAATTAAGTGAGAAATTTGATAGACAAACCATGATTGCTTTGCCACACTAAATGATAGTAAAAACAAATTTGCTTTAACAGTGTGTATGAACCAAGCTCCTGTTTCAATAATTATTTTTTCCCACTGGGGGCTCAGGAATCTCAGTGAGTTTGTGAAAATCAATGTACCTTGTCCCAGTTTCTTCCTCAACTTCCCATTTTTTTCCTGTCAATAGATCACAGCTCTTTTTCTTAGTTACTTTAGAATTACCATGAGCCTGAATGTTTTCTTGGCTCATTGCTTATTCTTCTTGTTTTTTAATTCATTGTTAATTTGGTTTTGCTTCTTTTTCTGCCAGCTTCTCTTATCTATCCTATTTATTTGTTACCGTCATTTTTTAAATAAAATTTTGTTAGGATCTGTCTCTTCCATTTCAATTTTTTCTGCCTCTCATTCTCATCTGTTCTTCACTTAAGCAGGTGAGAATCATGATCCTTCGTAATAAAGGTCAAATATTGCTAGTATCTTTTCTCTGTTCTTGATCACTTACCTAGGTAAGGCACCAAGTGGTCTGTTTGCCTCTCAACTTCCTTATGGATAAGAAATCCAAATACCCCAACTTGCTCATCTTCTGCTTTCTCAGATGTGCCCTGAACTTCCCTTGCTCTGAGTTTTTTTCCTCATTCAGCTCACCCTTAATTCATTTGAAGAAACAAGATACTGGACTAGCTAATTTTGATTTATTCTAATTGTAGTAAAAGCCATTATTTTTCTATTTAAGGCCAATATTGTTTGAAATTTTTTACCTCATGCTTCTCTTTCTAGGTACAAGTTGAACACTTTCGTGCAGAAGAGTTGTCAACATGTGCTGAAGTGACACATGCCAAAGTCCTCCCACTATATGGAGCAGTGAAAGAAGGCCAGTGGGTTACTATCTTCATGAAACTGATGGAAGGTAAGTGATCAAGAACAGAGAAAAGATACTAGCATATTACTAATCATGAGCAATAGGAATTGCAGACTATTCCAGAGGCAAAAACCTGATCTGAAAATGAATTGGGTGACTAGATGTGAAGCAGGATTTTAATTTAGTCAATTTAAGTTCTTTTGGGATTGCTTCTGCAACATTTAAGCAACCATTAAATGTTGCCTGATGTGTCATTGTGGGATATAGAACTAAAACTTGATGGAATACTTTTCTTCAAAGCCTATTTCTAGCCTATTTCTGACCGCCGCCACCCTCTTTTAATGTTAGACTTGCTTCCTTTTTTCTTTTTTAAATATTATTTGAGCCTTACTTGTTCATCACATTAAAATATAATGAAATTTCAACATCTTGGTTTTAATGATTTATGAATATAGAATGCTATAAAATTTTAAGCAGAGGAGCAGAATATCTTTTCTGACCTTAAACATTGCCTATTTTTTTCTAGCTGTCAATTTGTGCTCTATTTCATTTTATTTCCTAAAAGCCAAGGGTCACAACTGTTTCCCGACTTTTCTGTTAATTTTTCTTTTAATTTGTGATAAGTATTTTCTATTTTTAGTAGAGGATAACTGAATATTTGTGAGAGCCTGTTGATCCCGTGGTTGAACTCACAGCGGGAGTTCTTCCTTTGGTACAAAGCCAGCTAGTGGACCTTGGCTAGTTGCTTTCTCCCAGCTCTAGGAGGAAGTTAATGGCAAACCACTTCTGAAAATCCTTGCCAAGAAAACTGCAGGGACTTGTTCAGGTAGTCTCCAAGAATCAGACATGATTGAACAGAAGAAGAAAATAGTCCTGAATATTTATTTCTTGCTTTTATAGTTTTCCTTGCTTCTCCATAGCCATCTGCTTAGCCACTGTAAAAATATGTGTTTGATTACATATCAAGAAGCTCTAAAGCTAATGTGTCCAACTTTGCAGTTCATGTGCCGCAAGTGGCCCTGGACCTACCAAATTGTAGGTACCATATCTTCTCTGTACATTGTTGTCCTTTAACTATAGGATCCATGATTGCAGATTTCTTGACTATGATGCCGCTTGATATTTTTTCTGTAGACTGAAGCAGCTAATGTACTTCTTGGTGAAAGATGGGAATTTTTCCTTCTAGGTGGGTCATTGGGCCAGCTAGTTAAGCAGTGTGGATACTTACCTGAGGACAGAGCTCTTGATTATCTCAGCCAAATACTGGAGGCCTTGGAATACCTTCATGCCCACAATGTTCTCCATGGAGATGTAAAAGGTAAGATCATTATTAAACAGCCAACCCAAGTAGCAGAGTATTTGCTCAAAATGGCTGCAGTTGCAGAAAATATGAGATGATGTGCTGGAGGGGATGGTATATCTTGACGTACTTCCCACTGAATTAGTCAACTTGTCTTTATCTTCAGTTTTCAATAGAAGATTGTGTGTGGGGCTTCCGTTTTTTGCATCTGCAGTGCATGGCCACGCGAGAGCAGACCTCTGCTCCCCACAGCTATTTTGTTCCTGCTTGGGGAACCCTAGATGGGTCCGAAGTTGCCCCGGAGAGGTGACTGTGAAGGAGGAGCGCCCCGTTGATCACGAAGCGACGGCAATCGCTTTGTTTGATCCGGGGAAAGCCCTCTGAACCCGACAGGAGAAAAGCTAGCGTGAGATCAGCGTTTAGCCCAAGCTGCTTGCAGCCGAAGTCCCAGAGCACGAACTTAAACATCGGTGAACAGCATACTTGAAATTGGTGAGAGTACTGATCTTCTTTCTTCTATGTACTATTTAAATCCTTGAAAAGATCCCCAAAGCAAGAAAACCTCCAGAAGTGAAGGGAAGGGATTATATCCCCATTCCCTTACAGACGGAAGCGGCGAATTAACATAAAAGGTTGAAAAAGATATACTAAAATTTGATCTAGGAACTAAAAAACTGTCAAGATTATACCCCAAAAAAATTCTGATAGAATTATAAAAATATATAACAAAAATAACTTTTTGATAGAAAGAAAAACTGAAAAAAGAAATAACTGCTGACACCTAGTGGAGAATCAAAGAATAGAACACTAACAATAAGGATTCAGAAATTGGCAGAATGCCCAGAAACAAAGAAAAAGTTGTTCCTTTGAATTGCAAATAATTTTGAAGACAGCTGGAAGAGCCACCTATAAGATTAAAAAGTGTTTTGAAAGAAAAAAAACACCTGGACTGTTGCTTAAACCTAAAAACTGTTTATGGGGAAAAAAACTTTGGCTTTTTGGCTAATATTTTAGAGGAGAATTTGCGGATTTAAAGTGGCTTAATATACTGAATCTGTAATTTTGATTTTCTGATAAATTGACTTTTGAATTAAAACATTGATGAAAGTTTATTTGAAGGGGGGAGACAACATGGATATCACATACGTATCAAAAAATGACAGGATACCACATTCAATATTTTTTCTTGAAGGACTTAGCCTGGAAAATCAAGGGCCTCCAGAAGCAATACTTCAAAGCAAGATAAATACTTTCCCGGAGGAAATATATGTAATGCTAGGACAAATACAAATGACAATAGATTCAAACCATGATGAAATTCAAAATAACTTTAAGGATTTAAATAAACATATTTCCAATCTAAATCTACAGGAAATAACAGCAAAGGAACAAACAAATCAGACAGCAGATTACAAACTAGAAGTGTATGATCAAATTGATGAAATAACAAAGGAAAATAATTACAATTTGACACAAACAGGAAAAAATCTTCAAGGTTCTGTTACAACAAGAAAAATGGAATTATTAGGAGAACTATTAAAATTTGGGGGACAGAAAGAATTTATCTTACTTACTTCATCTTTTGTATTCCTAACAACATTTGTAAAAATATAGGAACTGTTGGGTAAGCGGATTACATCAACTTGGAAAATTACTTGGCAAAAAAAGAAGATCAGAGACAGATACAAGAGATTTGACTCGCCCTACCAGATGGACTATTACGTGAATAAACATTGTTTGAATATGGCTAAAAGAACAGAGAAGTTCGAACATAAAGGGGCCTTATAACAAGAAGGATAATGAGATTTAAGTAATATAGTATGTTTTATAATATATTAAATGTTAAAATAGTAGGTTGATGTAACTTTTATTAATATATAAGTAAAAGATAAACTGATTAAAAAGGATGTTATATCTAGATACTATAAGACAGATAAAAAGTATAGTATTTTTTATAATGCATGGCATAAAATATTGGGACGATGTACCTAAATGGGAAAATTTAGACAATGAGATGATTAATATGAAGAAATTATGACTGATAAGAATTGGATTGAATATAAGGGAATCTAAGCGAACAAAAATTATAAAAATAGGATGCATGCTGAACTAATGAGATGATGGTTATGAGAATAATATATGCTGAAAAAAACGTTATATAGAGAGATTATTATTATTTGTATAAATATAAAAAATGCCTATACCTAATCATTTATATATTGAAAATATTAAGAATTATATTTTGGCTAAGGTTGAAGAAGGAAAATACAAATGGGAGAAGGGAAGACCAAAGAAATGTATTATTAATTAATATATTAATTACGGGATTATCAAATTTAATCATTATTGACTGTTAATTAATTATTACTGTCCTTTTTTTCTTGTTAAAATATAAACCAAGACAAAACGCTGTACACCAGGCACTGGAAATTGTTATATTTAAAAACCAATAAAATATCTATTAAAAAAAAAGATTATATGAATGTTCTGGCAGCCCCCTCCTTTCACATAAAAAACTAAGTATGAGGGAAAGGGACTCCTCTTTAGGCTTCTGCCTGAGAGGTTAATATCTGTTGTATTAGAATTTCTATGGAGGAACATTTAATCAAGTAAATCTGCACTTCTGGTCCCCAGTAATAAAGTCAAAATGTCAGGTGAGCACCTAAGGAGAAAAACTAGGTGCTCTTGTTACAATATTATATAGAGATACCGATGGCCTGAAAACCTTGCAATTTTTCTTTTGGCAGCTGACAATGTCCTTTTATCTGGTGACAGAAGCCATGCTGTTCTCTGTGATTTTGGTCATGCAGCTCAACTTCATCCAGATGGCATAAGGAAATATTTAATGACAGGTAACTTATGGCAGGTTCTGAAGAGGCTATTGATGTACGAGCATTGGACTGCTCTTTCCTTTATGTTCTAAATATTGGACTCATCCCTGAAAATAAATAATTTAGAGGTGTCTGTCTCATTATTTTCCAGCATCAGGCATGAAGCTATATCTTTATCCCTGCCTCAATATTTTAGGCATAATTTTAGGGCATTATCTATTTTTAAAAAGTTATATGGTAACATATACAAACTAACTTCTGCCCATAATCTGTACCCGACAATTTTATATATTATGCAAATTGAACCACTGCGGGTACGTTACCAAAAAGAAAAAGAAAAATTCCTCAAAATGGAGAATAAAATATAAATTATGTCAAAAATCCTAGGCAATATTTCCTAGGAGATGAAATATTCTTTGCTCTGATGCTGGTAATATCTTTGGAAGAAAGGCTAGGGCTAGTGAGGAAAGAAAAGCAAAGAAGCTATTATTTTTCAAGCCCTAGTTTTCTCTCCCCTTCACCCCCATCAACTTTAGCAGCATATGCTAATACCTTGGGAAGGAAGGTTAGGGCTAGCGAGGAAAGGAAAGCCAAGAGTTTCACCAGCATCTCACAAAAAGACTGTCGCTTGTGGAATTCTGTCACATGGCCCAGCAATGGAGCAGCCTGTCATCCTTCCCTACCTCAACCCCTTGAACTCTGGAGATCTTGAAAATGTAAATGAATAATCAGTGATGGGGGCAGAGTGGGGAGAAGGCCCAAGGAGCTTTGGGGACTCCAAGGGATGGGAAGTGGAGCAAGGGGTATCTTGGGGTGGGGGGACGCCTTAAGAGGCTGGAGGCAGGTGAGCTTGTGCCTGCACTAGGCCTTTAGGATCTTTCCCCACCACTGAGGTACCCCATACTCCACTTAACAACCTACATTTAACAAATAAATGTGTTGGGGAGAGCAGGGATGGGGACTTGTTAAGTGAGGCGGTTAATTTAACGCCCTCCCAACCTTCCACTGTAATGGCAGGCTCCATTATGTCAAGGATTATCTGTATGCTTTTTTTAGTAGATGAATTGCAGAAAGCATTAGCCGTTTGATATATTTAACAGTACAATGTCTACTGTTTAAGACACTAAGCTAGAAACCAGGAGCCTGGGAGGGACTCAGCTTAGACATAAAAGCCAGTTGCGTGATTTTAGTCCAGTCACTCTCAGCCCCTAATCAGGCTTGGACAACAAGCCAGTTAGTCAGTTCCTGTTGCAACCAATGGATCAACACTCTGTTGATTCAAAATAAGCAGACCCTGCACTTGCAGGAAAATATTAGGAAAAAAGGCTAACTGAGAATTTTTTTTTGTTGAAAAATCAGTTATTAAAGTAACTATTTTTTTCTGATGAAGGGAGTTGAAAACTATTCATTTATAAGTTAATGCATGAATATAATATATATCCTGCACTTATCACCATTTTTTTGCTCTTCCTTTGTTTGAAGCTATTATACATTGCAATCACATTGCAGGATAGTTTTAGAGATTACAGTATAGTTTTCCCAAGATAAGTTTGTAACAGATTTGGAGTATAAAGCTGTTCAAGTTACAAATACTCTATTTCAAGTTTGGAACAGGCTTTTCCAACTGCTCCAGAAATGTTTTGAGAATGAAGTTGCTGATAGTTTGACTTTAAAATACCTCTTTCAGACTTGAAACTTTGTGAATTCAAAACATTTTAGGTACTCCTATTTCCCAAGCGATACTTCTCTCCAGAGAGTTTCCTACCGGTGTATGAACCTGAACTCAAAGTTTTCTGTATCCTTGCATTGCCTCTTTATTGTAATACTCCAACACAAATTTGGTTTGATATTTTTGTGTGCTGTCTGGTCTTCTACAGTGAAGGACCCTTTATTAATTTAAGAATGTCTCAGCATGGCTGCTTATGTGGAACAGGGCCCAGCAGGACCCTAAAGAATCAATTTCCTCTATTCTGCTTTCAGGGGATTATGTCCCAGGCACTGAGACCCACTTGGCTCCTGAAATCGTAATGGGGAAGCACTGTGATTTCAAGATAGATATCTGGAGCAGTTGCTGCATGTTGCTGCACCTACTGAATGGGTATCATCCTTGGATCAAGTATTATAATCATCCTCTGTGCCTCAAAGTAAGTCACACATTAGTAAATGGGTAATGTGTTGCTTCATTTATCTGAAAGACAAAACAGATAATTGTGGCATGAAGTGCTTAATGTTCTCAACCAATCTAAGAAACGTATCTTTTGTTAGTAAATACATATTTTTGTTGGATATCTTGAAATCCATAAAGTTTACCATTCAACATAATGCACTTATTTTATATTAACTATTGATTTCAAGAAGTTATAGGTCCCATCTCAGGATTACTTCAATTTTTCAGATCTCCAGAACTTGTGGTTTACACCAAAAACACAGTCTCTGTCTAGTTGTTTGGTAACAAAAGCCATTTGCTCACACCTTTTAGCCAAAAACTCAGCAATATTTGTTAAATGGTAAGGTCCTTATCATAATCATAAGTTCAAAATGAACAACAGTCTATAAAAAGGGGTTTCTGATTCATTCTGAAATTATTTTTGTCTATAATTCTGGAGGATTGATATTCCAGAAGGATTCACTGATAGAAAGCAATTAAGAAATATAGAATTGTAATGTGATTGTGGCTACAGCTTATCCAGTTCCAAACAAATATCTTCAATAATTTGTAAAGATTTCAAAATTGTTCCACCTATGAGTATATTATGTTTGAGAATAGGTGGTTGGGGCATTGCAGATTTTTCATGAGTTGTACCAGCTATGCCGAGTGACACATTGTCATGCTATGTTAGTTACTTGGTTTTGCAGCATGGGAGTTTAATTGCTAACTGTTTTATTGATGTGTTGGATTTTCTGATTTATTTCATGACTTATTTTTACTCTCAATAATTACATGTGAGTAGAAACAACTGTTGAATGAAAAGGATTAAAATGTTATATAAATTGAATGAATATTGAATATTTTTGATATTACTCTGTAGAGAAGTTGTTTGGAGGAAATTTTAATGCTTCTTGTGATTTTTAAATAGGGCTTTTTCCCTTTCCTTCTATTTCTATCTAGTTACCTCTTCCCTTCTCTCATCTCCATCTGCTTCTTGTTTTCTATTTTTCCTTTCATTCTTATATTTAATTTTACCTTTTTGTGTATAGCTCTTTGTGAGGAACTTGTGAGAGAAAATGGTACATGCAAATGGTGTACCTTATTCCGAGGGGAACGTTTTAAATTTAGGGTCATTTTTCTCTTAAGTAAATAAGATATTTGTTAGAAAATGAGTATGTGCCAACTTAGGTCTACACAGAACCTGCAAGAAAGGATGGGTGATGACATTTAGACTGCCATTCTATTCTCATTTACCTGAAGTTGAATTTTAATGAAAACAGTGATAGGTTTCCATATAATGAAAGGAAAAGCACAAACGTGAAGTTCTGGAACATAACACAATATTCAGTGCATATAGAAATGATTGTTCGGAAGCTGAAGGGCTATGATGAGGAAAATGCAAATCAAGAGAATTTTCTTTGAATCTTTAGTATAGAATAGTTTCAGGAATTAGCTCCTACACAAGGACCTCTATTTGAGAAGTTTGGTGTGGATGCTAGACGCAGGTTGTCTCTATTACTTATATAAATTCTGGTGTATAGAATACTATTTAGGTCACAGTTGGCTGTTCTAAATGCAAAAGAACAATTGTTATTTCAACAATTGATAATATAGTGTAAAAGAATATAATTATTCCATCTTTTCTTCGGGGGCTAAAAGGATTCTAATTTTTATCTTCAGTCTGATGAAATATAGTGGGCTAGGAGTTAAGAGCTGGGCAAATGTTGTCCAGTGAGGAAACAAAATTTCTGTCCATCTCAGACATCAAATTATCTTTGGATGGCACTGGCCTTATTTGCAAGTCTTTCACTATTTTGTCCTTTTTGAATATTGACTTTAAGGCAACCTGTCAGTCTACAGTGTGTGCTTGGTATAATTTCTGTGCACATTAATATTTTTTGTACCAGAATATTGAGAGTTTTGGCCTGTATTGCAGTTGTCTATCAAACAGTATTATCTATTCCTTGTTTTCAAAAAAGTGAGAAATCGATTTCTATTTCATATATTACAGTAGTTGTTGTCATTGTCTGTTAAATAATTGCTACTTGTAGGCTTGCAGTTTTCTGATTGCTTTTGATCAGTATCCATTTTCCTATGTCTTTGCATTGCAGATAGCCAAAGAACCACCCCCTTTAAGAGAAATCCCCCCCTCCTGTCACCCATACACTGTTCAGGTCATTACCTCTGGCCTTGAGAAAGACCCTATAAAACGGGCTTCTGCAGCACAGCTAAGGGAGAAAACCTGCACAGCACTTAAGCAAGGTGAGATTTCTTTGTCTGTCTGAACATGCACACTGGACTGGCGATTCCTTCCTTTCTTGCATTTGTCCCCACAGTCCCCTGACAAAGTCTTGCTCTTTTATTTGTTCCTGACATTTCTGTTCATGTCGCTTCCATGAATCATTTTCACATTGAATTGTGCAAGAGAAAACATGGAAGTCAGGTTTTAGTTAATAACTTGTGTACTGTAAATTGGAAGGAAGTAAAAGTACATAGCATGTCCCAGAGCAAGCATTCTCTGTAAGTGAATTTGGCCACCTTCACTAGTGTCATGCATGAAAATCAGGTTCACGTGTGAAGGTTCAATTTAACTGATTTATTGCTAAAAGACTATGCACAAGAATCTTCTCAACTAACAATCAGCACCTGGTTCAAGCTAGATAAGGTTCAAAGCAGTCCTTATATATAATAAGCAGTCCTTATATGTGGCTGGCTAATAAAGCAGTTCAAGATAAAGTTTCCCTCAAGCTGACAAATAAGAATCATCATGGTTGAGTAATTCCTGTACTGTGAACATAGGACTGGTTATCAGCAGGCTTCCAGTTACAAATCAAAGACATTTGCATTTGACCTTATAAAAGCACTGAATGGTTTAGCTCATGATAGTGGTCTGCACCTTGTGGAACAGCCTTCCCAGTTGTTCCTGTAGGCAACAGCTTTGGTGGTATTTTAGAAAGCAGTATGCTTTTATTATTGTAAGCTCCAGGAGTCTTCCTGAGCTTAGTGATACAAGACTAAAAGGAATAGTTAAACTCACTCCTGATTTCCATCTGGGTATGCTGAGCCTTTTGACAATAAGACAAAAGTAATTTAGTATTTATTGCCTTCTGGTTTTGTTTTATTTGAAAATATAATAAAACGTTATTCTGTCATAGAAAGTAAAACTATGCCAGAGAGTACTCATCATTTTATGAATATATTTATAGAATATATTTATTATAGAATGTATTTATATTTTCCCTCTTTGTAATGGATTGTTACAGGAAACTTAGAATAACTAAGAAGATCTAGATATATCATCTGAAACTTTGGAGGCATCTTATCTTGTGTTAAATGCGTACTGGTGGTTGAACAGGAGTCCCAGTTCTCCTGAGGTGTTTGTACTATAGATTTTTCCATTTGTGCTTTTGGTTTGTAGTGGGAGGAGTGAAGAGTTCCTGGAACAGTGAATACAGAGAACCCAGATGCCTGCAGTCGACACAGAAAGCTATTCTCCCAGAGCTACTGTTATCCATACCTGAACTCCCGGATAGCCAAAAAGTGTTGTCTAGAAGCCCTAGACCTTTGCTGCCATGTCAGGATTTGACTGAGAGAAAGCAGTTAATTCACCCAGACGTGTGCAAGGAATTATTGCCACCAGGTGACTCCTTTCTACCCTCCTTCCTGGCTCCAATCAGTACTAGGAAATACAACATGACAGAATGGGGGACCCCCAGCATTGACCACGACCTTCAGCAGCTGGAGTTTGGTAATCATGGATCAGGATTGATTGATTCCTTTATTATTCCTTTATTGTTTTTATAAATAACTCAAGGCAGCAAACATATCTAAATACTCCTTCCTCTTCCTATTTTCCCAAAATAGGAGGAGGAAGGAGAGAGACAGTGACCAGCCCAAGCTGGCTTTCATGGCTAAGATGGGACTAGAACTCACTAGTCTCCTGTTTTCTAGCCAGGTGCTATAATGAGTAGATCAAACTGGCTCTCTTATCATTTAAAGCTGCTTCTTCGTTTGCCAGTCTATTTTCCTGACCTCTCTTTTTTTTCAAGCTTTTGGTACAGCTGTCAACTTCCTAGAAGATTTTACTGAATGGTACTGTATATTATAAGTAGCATTTCTACCTACCTTAATTTAGTTGAAGAGGCCAGTCATATAAAACTTGTGTGTTTAAAAGAAGGAAAAGGGAGATATGTTGAATGCAGCATTAATAAGATTTATATAGTAATGACAGTAACAGAATAAAAGGAACCTGCAAATACGGAGCAGATATCCATGAAGGAAACAGAGCATGTTAGAGTGTAAAAATAGCAAGGAGATTCTAATGCAGGCATGTCAAACTCGCGACGTCATGTGACATCGCATGACATATCAGGACTTTTTCCCCATTGCCGGCAATGGGGTGGGTGTGGTTTCAGCGTGATGCATCCGGCCTGTGGGCTAGCAGTTTGACATGCCTGTTCTAATCTATGCATTTTACAGAGCATGCATATGGAATATACAAATTTAATAGAAGAATCAGGAAATGAAAGGATCCTTTGAAAACCATGAGTTAGATTCTCGCTTAAAAAATATTACTAGTTTAAACAAAAAGGTCTTTAGATGAGGCAATAAACTTGGTAATCCATTTTTCCTTCCTTTAGTTAAGTTGTGAAAGGGATTCATTATTAAGGTAGTTCAGTGTTTCAAAAATGATTTAGAAGAAGTGCTTCATACCTTGCTTTGGCATAGCACCTTTTTACTTTTCATTAAAACATTGTCTTTTATTTTTAAGTTTCAATGTGGCTGCTGTAATAAATAGAAAGCTGCTGTGCTTATACTTGCATGAAATCCAAACCACTTCCAAATCATTTTGAAGTACCTAAAGTTCCAAATACTTATCTCAAATATCTTTAAGGACCTTGTTCTTAGGATTCAGAGGAACCAGATTTTACCTCAGTACATGCCAATGGGCAAAATGCTATATCCATGTTCATTTTTTTTCAGAGTTACAAATATTCTGTTTACAAATAAACTAAATAAAATTTTTAAAAATCTTTCATTGGCAGATTATTTTGGAAATGCCAAAGACAAAATAAATAGTAAAAGTGCTTAGGCTTTAACTGGATTAAACTTTTGAGGGAAAAAAACCTGTGTTTTAGAGAAGGAGAAATTAATATAAGAAATTAAAATGAAAAATGCATGCTAATATGTTTAAAACTAAATATAATAGCTGGCAAACATGAATTAGTATAGATACCATACACATTTATAAAAAGAACATCCATGGAACTTGATTTAATTTATTATTGGAAGCAAAATCAAAACTATAATCATTATATTTTGAAATGTTAATGAAGAGATGATGGGGTCCTTTTTTGTTTTAATAATGAATCCAGAAATAGTTAGTCCAGATCAGTTAAGTGTAGTCACGGAAGGCAGAACCATTTAATGCCGACAGTGCACAGTCTTCAATGTCTTCATTTTAGTCCATTCTCCTTTCCACAGATCTGATTTTGAGCAGCCTCTCTCAACCCTTTTCACTGGAAGAACAGGAACAAATGTTGTCGTGCTTCAGCTTGGATAGCTTTCTCCCATCAGATGCTAGTGAAAAGGTAACTACATGAGGATGAACAGTTGCTATTTTGCAATTGCAGTAGATTGCCCAAGTCAGAATAGTCAAGAAGGACTGTATCTAAATAGGTATCTAAATTCCTATTTAGAACAATTTGAGCATAACTGAATGCCTTGTACATTCGTATCTTTTACTGTGTGTTCCTGTTTCAAGTTTGTGTCCTGTTTATGCTATGAAGGAAAACTGTTTTTGTAATAGAATCCCAATCTAGATTCTATTGAGAAATGCAAATTTATTTCCTCCACCCAATAATAGAAGAAATAAATAATAAAATGTGTGATTGATCTAATATACTCAATTGCCCACACTATCTTCTGGGTCAGAGAAGGGACAAGTAGACCTTGACTTATAACCCACAACTGGGACCGGGATTTCTGTCACTAAGCAATGCAACTGTAAAGTGTGACTCCATTACTTAGCAATGGCAATCCTGGCACTCCTGGTGGCCATCATAACTCCAGATATATCAGAAAGTGGAGAAAGTCCCAAGTAAATACATAGTGCCCCCCCTCCCCACCCATCATAGTCAGACAGGAAGGATATTTCACCTGTCAGGGTCTAGGAAGAGAGCCTTCTCTGCCACTGCCTCAGTCCTCTGGAATTTTCTCCTCATAAAGGGGTGGCAAGCCCCACTCTCCAGGTCTTTTAGAAGGGTATGAAGACCTGGCTAGGCCAACCCATGTGGGATCAGAGTGGCATACAACCCTGGGGATTGTTGTTGCTTTGCATGTTCTCCATCTACCTTTTAACTTTTATTTCATCTTTGCTTTTTACTTGGCTCCCATTTTACTGATCTATTTTTATGTGCTTATTATGCTTTTAGCTGTAAACTCAGAGTCACTCTGAGAGTGATATTGATTGATAAATAAAGAGCATAGGGGGCAGGGCAGGGGGATTGAGCCCTGGAGACCAGGTGCAGACCGCACATCATAAGTTTGTGGGGATGCTAGAATACAGTGTGACAGGAAGGAGGAAAGAGAAATAATACAATTCAGCTCAGAGTCTTCTTGGCATGTCATGGCTCTGAGGCTGTAAGAACTCACTCAGCTACAGCACAGCACAAGGCAGTGGTCCCAGGAAGCCCTGGCTAGCAAAGTGGAAAGCCCTGGCTCAGCCGCCCTTGCTGCTCTGCGTTTCATCAGCCTAGCTGACCCTCACTGATTTCTTGCTCCTGCTGCTGACAAGGCATAACTGCCTTGGACCCTCACAAGACAGCTCCTGACCATGCCAGGCCTTCTTTCCAAGGCTGCTTGCTCCAGTCTCTAAATTGTGCGTTCCATTCTCCAAATAGTGCATCCTGTTCTCTCAATGCTTCAGAAAGCTTTTTCTAAGATTTTTGAAAACGGGTACCCTATTTGGAGAAAGCCAGGCATCCGTCTGTTGCACTGCTTTGGAAGACCTTAGAAAATTTCCAAAGGCTTTCTGAAGCATTACAAGCACAGGGCACACTATTTGGAGAATGTTACAAGTGACCTTAGGAAGAAGGTCTGCTACAGCCAGCAGCTGCCTTGTAAAGGGTGAGGCCGGGCAAGCCTTGTCAGTAGTAGTAGGAAGATAGCAAAGGTCAACTAGGTGCAGCAGGCATGGAGGGTGCAGGTCAGTGATGGCCACTAGTGCTTTGTGCTGTGGTCTTTGGGTAGCTAGCTAAGAGTGTCAGCTGCAGCTCTATGACTGAAATAAAGGCTTCATGGATAATAGCAGCTGGCTACTACTGCTGAAGGCCCTGGGCTGCTACTTCAGCCCCAGCTTTGACGCAGCTGCCAAGGAATGCTGCTGTGCCAAAAGGATAGATGGGGAAGAGAAAGGCAAGTGGGGTAAGTTGAAGGACCCCTGTGTTTGTAAGTGTGGGCAGGCTGCCAAGAACCCAAATTTTGATCACATGACCATGGGACAATGCAATGGCCATAACTTCAAGGAACAGTCATAAGTCATTTTTTTTCAGCAGTGTTGTAACTTCAAATGAGTGAATGAATGAATAATCATAAATCAAGGACTACCTGTATGGTGAAAAAGTCTTCAGCATTTCTTTCCAATCTCTTTTCAATTCACTTCAGATCATTCCCAGGGCTTTGTGCTTTTCTGGAAAACTATAACCTCTACTCACTGCAATTTAGTTACATCAGTACAGTGTAGTGTTTATGTTGTTGGACTAGGACAGGGAGATCAGATTCAAATCTTCACTCAACTGTGGAATCAACTGGATGAATTTTGGCCAGCTATTCACTCTTAGCCAAAATGTAAAGATCTTCCATGAGTCACAACCAACGGAATCTAAATATAACAAAATATAATAAATAGTATCCTATAATAAAAGGGTATAGATCAGGGGTAGGCAATCTTGGCTCTTTTATGACTCGTGGACTTCAACTCCCAGAATTCCTGAGCCAGCCATGCATGGCTGGCTCAGGAATTCTGGGAGTTGAAGTCCACGAGTCATAAAAGAGCCAAGGTTGCCTACCCCTGGTATAGATACTCAATAGTGGCGAATATCTGTAGCTCGGGTGTAGGATGAGGATAAAGGTTACCTAGATTACTCCGCTGAAGATGTTACCCAGCATGGTAACGAAACGTTCAAAAACCAACCCACAAGCTCAAGAGAACGAACCTTCACCCTTAGGGTATAGATATTCCCAGGGAATGTTTTTTTCTTTCATATCACATCACCCCTGAATCCTTGAACTGTTACCCCAGAATCTTACAAACAAGCTGAGCTATTTTTCTCTGTATGTCCCCCTTCTCATCTGCCTATGCAGTAGTGTTGGCTGATGCATCTTTTTCATCTAGAATATTTCAGTACTGAGGCATGTCACTTGGACAAATTATTAACTCCATAAACAGTTGGTTAGAAGTTCCATTATCCATGACCATTTCAAAACTCACATGCATACTAAAATAAAATTGTCTTCCTCTCTCTGCTTGTCTCTATGTCTCTCACGTATAGCTTTTCTTTAGCAATAATAATAATAATAATAATAACAACAACAACAACAACAACAACAACAATAAAGTTGGAAGGGACCTTGGAGGTCATCTAGTCCAACCCCCTGCTCAGGCAGGAAACCCTACACCATTTCGGACAAATGGCTGTCCAGTCTCTTCTTAAAAACTTCCAGTGTTGGAGTATTCACCGCTTCTGGAGGCAGGTTGTTCCACTGGTTAATTGTTCTAACTGTCAGGAAGTTTCTCCTTAGTTCTAAGTTGCTTCTCTCCTTGATCAGTTTCCATCCGTTGCTTCTTGTCCTGCCTTCAGGCGCCTTGGAGAATAGCTTGACTCCCTCTTCTTTGTGGCAGCCCCTGAGATATTGGAACACTGTTATCATGTCCCCCCTCGTCCTTCTCTTCGTTAAACTAAACATACCCAATTCCAGCAACCGTTCCTTATATGTTTTAGCCTCCAGTCCCCTGATCATCTTTGTTGCTCTTCTCTGTACTCTTTCTAGAGTCTCAACATCTTTTTTACATCGCGGTGACCAAAACTGGATGCAGTATTCCAAGTGTGGTTTTACCAAGGCATTGTAAAGTGGTATTAACACTTCACGTGATCTTGATTCTATCCCTCTGTTAATGCAACCCAGCATTGTGTTGGCCTTTTTGGCAGCTGCAGCACACTGCTGGCTCATATTTAGGTGATTCTCCACTAGGACTTGCATGTTAGCATGCAAAATGTTAGCATGCAAAATACATTCCTTACTTCTCATGCTTGAAAATATTCATATTTATCTTTTTCTCCATATACTAGTTGTCAAATGCAAGGCCATGTACAGATTTGCACTCTCTAGCATTTCTTGAGTAGTTTTTGTGTGTTTTAGGAGCAGCAGCAAGGGCGGGTATACAGATTGAAGAAAAGAATGCAAAAAAGAATGTAACAAAAAGATATATCTGACAGCCAACCCCCCCAAAAAAATGCAATTGCTCCTCCTTTTTTGATCTTTTAGGGCTCATTGAAAATGTCCCACAGTCTGAAGGATACCATGAGTTCAGGTGTACATTCCTGGAACAGCCAAGCAGATGGGCAGAGCACCAGTTGGAACAGCTGGCTGAATCGTAGCAGAAATACAGATATGCCCACTTATGTTAATGGTAAGACATGGTTATAGAATGATAGCTACAAATTACCTTTTTGATGGTGTTTGTCAAATATGATTTTTTTAAAATCAATATTACTACTTGAATTATGGAGTTATGAGCTAGAACAATAGGATATAGCACCCTAGAAAATAATTATTCTTTCCCATTATTTACTAGATTTTTCTAGTAACAATCTAAACTAAGTTCTGGAAAACGTTTATTTGATAAAGCTGAATGGTGAAGATTTTGGCTGTTTTAAAGAATTAAAGACAACTTAAATGTGCCATGAGATTTCAAAGATTAATCTAGTTATGTGTATGTTACATTATTTTCAAAATGATTGTAAAATCTGTGTGTTCAGCTGAATTTTTTTTAAAAAGTGGCAACAACAAAAGTTAATGAAATGCTGGATGCTCAAAATATATTTGTGGCTTTTGGACTCCTTTAGATCCTGTTGCTTTCATTTGGATTCTTACACTGACCAGGGTTTGGATCAGATGGTTTGAATCAGGCGTGTCCAAACCATGATCTGCATGTGGCCCTGGACAGTTAGTAATGCAGCTCCACAAGATAATAAAATAAATAAATAAAGGAAGTTTGACATAAATTTCACTAAATGCAGCTCAAAGAAGCCAAAAGGTTGGAGAACCATGGTCTAAATCCATGTTTCCCACTCTTACCAACTTTAAACATGTTTGGGCTTCAAGTTTCAGGATTTCCCAGCCAGCATGCTGTGTGCTGAAGTCCACACACCTTAAAGCCATCAGTATTGGAAATATTAGCCTAATGATCTATTTTTGCACTAGTATTATCTGGAATATTGAGGAGCATCATATGTTTGATGAAGGGAGTTTAGTCCAGGGATGGGTAGAAGGAAGATTGAGAACTATTGATCTCTACAGAATAAGGTTCTTTGCAATAAAATCGAAACAAAAAGTTATTTTCTCTCTCTCTTTTATTTTCTCCAGGGGTGAAAATTGAGATCTGCTTGCTTAGTGGGGAAAGCCTCCACATCAGAGAATTCCGTGGAACTAAGGTGGGAGATGTTGCCACTGGAATTAGCAGCCAGGTAGGTATTGTGCTGGAGAGCCTGTCTTCTTTGGCTATGTATTAAAATAGAGCTTTCGGTGAAAGAAATCTAAATTTTGCAAGGTGAACAACTTTTCTATGGCAGTAATAATTTTATATCTTAGATATCACTGAAGTGGATGGGACTACAGTTTCTAATCCAGTCTGGGATGCCATAGCCCTGCCCCAATTGAAAAAATTAGCTCGATTTGGGGAGGTGTGAAAGCTATAAAATGCCAATTTATTCATATTTTTACTATTTTTATTTGGTATGCACTTATATTTAAACGTTGTACATGATTTACTTCATCCTTAAATCCAAGTTTTGTAAAAGTCCAGAGGCATGCTGTGGGTCACAAAACAGGAGCTGGTGGGTTCAGAGGGTGATTTGACAGATTTATACAGGTGTTATTTAGGATTGTCAATAATGTGTACCTATAGTAGAGTGGGTTTCCTTTACTTGCTTTTTATTTTGTTTTGTTTTCTTAGATACCAGCCTCTGCATTCAGCTTCTTCACAAAAGAAGGTGATCCTGTCCATTGTGATATGGAGGTCCCTGATTCAGGCATTGAACTTCAGTGCACTTTGGCTCCTGATTGCAGTTCTGGCTGGAAGTGGAGGGTCAAACATGGTCAGTTAGAGAAGCAGCTGTAACGCCTTTTTCCTTCTCACATCTTATATTCAACAAATGTGACTTTGCAGAAAAATCAATGCAGAAAGTTGTTGGCAACAGCTGGCTGCTAAAGCAAATTATAGGTTCCTTGTTTGCCACATCCAGTGCCTATGGAAGGTGTTGTGGAATGAACTTCTATGTAGAGTTGAATGGTTAGGCTGCATTTAACAAAATCAAACTCAGAAGCTTGGAGGAACATAAATTGCTGTGATTCCTTAATCCCACTATCAAGGACTATCCTAATCTTTTAACATGCCTTTTTACAGTCTGAGCTTTTGAATTCCTTGGAGGAATGTATGACCTCCAAATATAATAGCCAGTGTATAATGAGTGCATAACCAACATATCTCTGCAGAAGCAATAATTTTATCACTCACATAGAAACTATATATTAATTCATTTTCTTCTTGTACAATTTACAGCAGGCATGTCCAACTTGCAGCCCTATAATTAATGTATATAAGTTATATATATATATATAACTTATATATATATGGCACAACAAGAAGTAAAGAACACCAGGAGAAGAAGAGACTCTAAAAATATTTGATGGTAAAAACCAACATGACAAATACTGGTTAAAACCTACAAAACTATTTAAAGAAATCTACAAAAATTGAAAACCTAGCTTTCGTTGGCAAACTGCCAACTTCCTCAGGGCTGTAGTTCATACAGGGCGGGAGAAGTTCCCTTATAGCTGGCCATTACTCTGCATCCGGCACCAAGCCCTAGTCATCGGGCGTGGCCGGTCAACGAGAGTTTTGCTTTCCTTGCCATTGGTGGTTAGGCTCCTGCTCCTACTCTCAGTCTCGGAGTCAGTCCTCCTCTCATGAACATACTCCTCCGCCGGAGATGCTTTTCCCCGGAGAACTGATCCTGCGATTACTTCAGAACTGGAGGGCAGTGGAGGGTATGGCTGGCTTATGGGGTGGAAACACCCTTTACCCCAGGCTGCGCAAGTGGGAGGAGGGGGGTGCCGCCGTTCGTTTTGCACTCCAGGAAGGCCCATGGAGTCATAGACGCCTGCGCCAGTCTCCACGGGGTGTGCGTCGTGCTTACAAGCAGGGCGTCCACCCCTCTCCACTCTGCTCCGCTCAGCATCTCTACACGCGGGAGAGGCTATTTCTTTAAATAGTTTTGTAGGTTTTAACCAGTATTTGTCATGTTGGTTTTTACCATCAAATATTTTTAGAGTCTCTTCTCCTGGTGTTCTTTACTTCTTGTTTTGCTATGGATCCTCCCAGGAGTCATATGTATGTTTTTTTGTGTTATTTTTAATATATATATTATTTAGATACATTAATTATATTATATATTTTGTATGCAGCCCAAGACAATTCTTTTCCATTCAGTGTGGCCCAGGCAAGCAAAAAGATTGGACACATCTGTTTTACAGAGCTGAATTACATGTTTATCAGGAGAGTTTTTAACTACCAGTCTGAATACAGATAGTTTTTTAAGATTAAACAAATAATATTTTTCAAGAGGGCATTAATTTTTTAATATTTTTATAATCGTAAATGAAAGAGAATTACATCAATCTATTACTGTTTATAAGAAATAAGCCTTTGAATGCACCAAGGCTTACTACAGTCTAAATGCTCATAGAGATTAGATTCCATCTATGCAATGATAGTTTGAAGCAAAAATCTAAACTTGAGATAGATTAGGCAAGTCCTTGTAGTGTTATTAGTCTTGTTTTTAGTTGACCAGATTGATTTTATTACGCTGTGGTAGGTTTTATGGAAAGAACTCTGGTCGCATAAATAAATATTGTTGGACTAGGGGTGTAAGAATAAGTGCAAAGATACCTCATTCAGAAAACCTCATCTGGCATGTTCTGAATTACATCTGGAGTGTGTTCACCCATAATTGTTTTTGGTTGAACTTTGAAATTATATAGAAAAGATAAATCCAATTCAGAAATAAAAATGGGGTGGAGAGGATTTAAAAACATGCCTGATTTTTATCCCTCTCTCTCAAAGAAAATAACATTTGGGTTTGAGAGCAGTAGACCAGCCTGATTTTCAGTGCCTAAATTCCAACTAAATTTTCAAGATTTTTATACTTCTTTTCCCAAACATCCATACTTCTTCACCAGGGCAAATTCTGGAGGGCAGCATCTTTTCAATCCATCTTTTCAAATGTAATTCCTAGGCAGCTAGAGTTAATGTGTAAATTACAAAAATTTGGCCATATAGCATCTGTAAACTCTATAATCTTTCTCCTTGTAAATGTCTCATTTCACATCAGAGTTAAACAACGTCTTCATTTCTAACTTGACTTTACTGTTGGATAATAAAATTTGTTGCTACTTTCACTGGCTTCTAAATCTACTGTAATTCTAAACAAGTAGATTATTTTCTAGAAGCTTAAAATTGTGCCTTAATAATAGGTTATTCCTTAATTGGCAAGAGTCTGTAGTCTGGTCTATTAAAAGCTGTACTGTACTGCATTTGAAATCTTGCTTGAATATCCTGCTAATTTGATCATAGTTGTGCTCTAAGCAGCAGTATCTTCCAGTTGGTATAACAGAAAGCTGAAATAGGCCAGTGAGTGTTTTATGATTATGTGTGATTTCAGTTGTCTGAAGTTCATATAATTGTTGTTTATTTAATTTAATTCTTTGCAAATTAAATGCTATTCAGAATTGGAATCATTGCTCTTGCAATTCAGTAACCTAATGATCTTATGAAGTTTGTGATTCAAAAAATTGCCAGAATAATCAGGAGAGGCTATATTAAAATATCTCCTCAGGACCACACTCTGGATGAAAAGGGGAAGCAGCCTCTAATTTTGCCATTGAAAACTTAATTTGTAAGTACTGTGGTTTGGGACTGCAGTCTATAGAATCGTTTTGTACTGTATTCTCTCAATAACTGGTAAGAGTTCATGTGAAAGAAAGATGAGTAAATTCTATTTTTAGCTGTCACTTAATTTCAAGTTGGAACTGAAAGAACTATTTTTAAAAAAATTATGGAGAAGAAACTGGCTGCAGAGCCGATCACAGCTGTCAGCCTAGTTCCTAACTTTTTTTTTAAAAAAAAGGACAAATTGCCCTCTGTAGATCATACAGCTTTCTCAGTCAGTGTCCTGTGGAAATCTTGACTATTTCAAACAACTTTTCTTAATTTGCAGGAATGGATGATTTATGATCCAATCCAAAGAAAAAAAACATAGCAATATGAAGTATCTATATGCATCAGGGGAGTAACCATTTTTCACATTTTGAAAAATCTGAAAGTTTATCTTGATATCTTAAGTACCTGTGATTGTAATCCAGGGGTCTTTGCCTCCCCAGTTAATCTACTTGCAACATATTGCTTCCTGCAAAGGAAGTAGCAGATCCTAAATCAAGAAATAGGAATCTATATTAATATACAGAAAAGCACAATATTTTTTTCATCTTCATCATCATGCATGCTTTCTCCATTTGTTTTGTTTTTTGGTATAAAGTAAGTTACTTTGTCAGATTTGCAGTTGTGATGAGGTAGTGATAGTGAGCACATACCATCTGAGCTCATAGATCATAGATCTGCACATGTATGTTCTTTTGTAGTGTGATACACTACAACTCTCTGTAGCATCAAGTCAAGCCACATGGCACATTGAGCAAATGATGAAAACAATTTGTTCATAGTACTTAAGAGCATTATACGAATCGAGCCATTTTTTAAAAACTCTGCTTGAGAGTTTGGGCTAAAATATTATTAGCTTTCTGTGTGGAGAATTTATTAACTTTCTTGCTTCCAGTGTTCAAACTGTTAAGTAACTAATTTGCTTGCAAAGCCTGTCCATTTTTTCAATGCTGAGATTATATTAGTTTTGAAAAAGCCAACAGATGGAATGCTAGAAGCCACAGCATTACACAGCCTCTCTATCTTAGATACTTTTCCCTCCAGTCCAGTCCAGCTCCAGAAATGCCACAAAGCTTTTTAAGATGAATAGAATGAAAGAATTATTTGGAACAGCTCTTTAGATTGGAGTTGCTTTTGCCAAAACTAGGATAGTAATCAGAGTGGCCTAAAGATGCTTCTAAACTGTGTTCTTAAAACTTCAATTAAAAGTGTTCATTTTGTTGTTTTCAACTTAAAATATATTTTAATGGAGGGGAAAAAGAGGGGGGGGAGAACATACAGATATATTTTAAATGAAAGTCACTGATTCATGTTTGTGTGATGCACTGAACCACAAACTTGCCAGCTATATTTAGTCTAGTGTTTTCTGAAGACCTGTATTAGCTGTATCAGTTTATGGTTCAGTGTGCTGTCTCAGTCCAGAAAAATAAATCTTATTAACTGTATAATCATGTCATATAAGCACAATATACGTTGTCTGTGATTCTGTGAAGATTAATAGTAACTGATACTACTTTTTAACTGTCAATGAAGTTTGTAAAGTAGGAAGGCTAAATATACCTTTTTCAATCAAGGAAATTAAATCACTGTGCCTCTAGCTCATACTTTGGTGGCGTCTATTTATTTGACTATTTTTCTACTGTTCCTCTTTTCTTCAGAACTTTGGCTAAGGGTGGGTGGATATTGATTACTCAGTAATAACTAAGTATAGTTTACGAATTTGCAACCGAAGCATACAATGTCTGATTTTGGTGCAGACGTGACAGTCTCATCACATACCAAAACCAGCATACTGTCTCCCACAATGATTTCTTTGGGAAGGCCATAAAATAGCTCATGCTGATGACAAGGGGTGTCTACTTTCCTTTATAAAAATTAATGCCCAACATTGATAAGTATTTGTCTTTTGAAGAAAAATTTCATTTTCCACATCTTAAATTGTAATTCATGCAATTTACAATTGATCTGTAATTTGGAATAAAAAATTGGGAATAAAATGTTTGTCAATTATAGGGAAAGCTGGGGAACAGCCATTATCAAGAGGGCTGCTGAAGGATTTAGCTTTGTGAATGAGTTTGACAAGTAAGCCTTTCTTTTGCCAAAACAACACTAGAAATGCTATCTTTACCCATGTGCAACTGAAAATTTGAACTCATAAAGTGCTGGCATTTCTTCATTCCCTTGTGCATTGCATTTTATCCAATTCAGGGTCTGTTATGTTGTCTGGATCTGAAACAATTATCAATGAAGCTTCATAACTTAGCCTTGTCATAAAGTGCAAGAATTTTGTAAAACCAAAATAATAACCATTTTGGCTCTAGATACTGTAATTTTCAATCTTTGATTCAAATCCTACAATGCAATAAGAGGGAGGGCTTTAAAATATTGTGAGAATGACTAGCTTGGACAGGTTAAAGTCCCAAGTTCATCCATGGATACTTGAATACTTTTTAATGGATATTTAAGTGATATCTTTAGGTCAGTCATTTGCTGTCAACCCAGCCCAAGGTGGCTGTTGGGATAAAACAGAGTTATCATAAAAGTCACCTTAAGTCTCTAACACATATGGGTTTATAAACCAAATAAAATGATGGCGTGTTCATTTACGTTCAAAGCATTTTGGTTTAGTGTGGTAGAAACCTGACCTTAAAATTTAGAGTACTGTATATATTTTAATCACACAATAGTAGGGGAGGCTGAGACTAGAGTCTACTAGTTATATAAGCAGAAGTGTGGTATTCCAGCAGTGGTTAGTCCAGGGGTCTTCAAACTTGGCCCTTTTATGACTTGTGGACTTCCAACTCCCAGAAGTCCTCAGCCAGGCATCCTGGCTGAGGAATTCCGGGAGTTGAAGTCCACAAGTCATAAAAGGGCCAAGTTTGAAGACCCCTGGGTTAGTCTCTCAAACATTTGATTTCTGAAACTGATCAGATCAATTTATCTATCCGACATGTAGTACTCAGAGGGAAATCATTCTGAATCTATCATGGATTAACAACTATCAGATATGCTTGCAGTACAAAAATGTGTTCCTTGGCTAACCTGGGAAGTTGAAAACACATTCTGAAAGGCAAACTACATCTGCTGAGAAAAAGTACATGGATATAGTCATCTGCATTTTAACTAAGTTGCAACACCTTTTACAAACCATCTAAATTAATGGTTTTATTCTTTGGGGCAGGGAGAGGTAAATAGCCTGTGAACTCTAGGTGAGAATGAATGAGGTGGCAGTTTTGTGCTATTAGTGGTAAAATTGATACTTATTATACTGTTCACTTGGATATTTTTCTCAGTCACAACATCTAGAAGGTATGAAACCTAAGAAGACTAACTTCAGTTATGAAGAGTCATTATTTATAAACCAGACAGGGCAAGTAAGTTTAAATGTACCAGTTGGGTAGTCCAAGCTCTTTTGCTTATCCCACATCTTGACTAGAGTTCTGAGCTGCCATGAGTTTGTGATCATAGGATGCATCTGTGGACACCTTGATATTATTACAACTTGTATTGGTTCCTCTTTGAGGGATTTCTTGCAATTTAGAATATTTCCTGTCTTAAGAATCTGAGCCCAGCGTTCTTCCCAAACAAGAACATACATTTCATTGTTACAATACATGTATTATATTTTCTCATTTGTTAACTTGCTTTGGGTTAAATGCAATTCACACACCATATATAAAAATAATGTATACAAGTTATGCAGAGCATTGTGGCTCATCTACAGGATTCAAGGCATCTTAAGAAAACAATTAAGTTCCACATTCAGTTGTTTTTCTAACTATTCCTCCCACCTTTCCCCTTGCTCCCAGACATGGCATAAAGAATTGTGCTATTCTGAGCATTTGCTGTGATAATTTTAGTTTTTCTTAAATTATGGGGAAAGCGATGGTAGCCTAAAACTGGGCTTCTAAGCATACCTAGTCTACAACAGGTTTGGGATGGACAGTAGGGACCTGGCCATAGTATTGCTAAAGGCGGTTGAGGATTTTGTTTCATCTAAGTTGAGACTGAACAAATTTGTGGTCCATGCATATCTAATCTCTCCTGAAATAGGTAGTTATTGCAATATGTTATTGCATGCTGGAGTTTGAGAGGGAAAAACAAAGTGCAACTTTGCATCAGGCATAAAGTGCTCCAGAGGGAGTCAGATTATACAAAATGAAGGTATTGTAACCCATGCCTCCTCCACACCCACCCACCCGAAAAAGAGGGGCATGGACAAATTGCTCTTCCCCTCTACATACTTTAGAGAATATAATCTGTTCTCCCTCAGCAAATGAAGGGAAAGCTAGAATCCATAAAAACTGGCTTGATTTGGGAGAGGGAGTAAGATGTATTGTCTGTTGCCTGTACAGTGGAGCTACAAAAGGGGGAAAAAAAGCATTTTCCATGAGTTAACCCCATTTCCCAGGCTTCCAGCAAGTGGGGAAACATGCATTTGGATTAGGATGTGGTATCCTTCAGATGAAATAACACTTGTAAATCTCAGTATAGAATTAGAACTATGCATTGTAATGATGGATTAAATTTTTATTAAAGATCTCCTGAGTTATCTAATTACTGTCACCTTCACTCTATATTTTTCTGTCTCTTGTAGCAAAGCTCCTAAGAATATACATCTGAAGGTTGGAAGTGGGGAGATAATATATTATATGTAATATGTTATATATACTGGCAGCAACCCGGAAGAAAAAAGTGTTCAGCCACAGAAGAATGACACCATGTGGCAAGAAAAAGAATAGCAATTCCCATAACCAGTGTGATTGTCACCAATACTCAGAAGAATGAGTAGTTTTTGAAAGTGCCAAACTTTTGCTAAATCCTGAGATGCTGTTCAACTGACCAGATTAACTCCCTAGACTGATTGTTGTGCTAGAAAAGGATGCTGAACTCACTAAATATTCTAGAGGAATATATAATCATGGGAAACCATTTGCTAGAGAGAGAGAGAGAAAGAAGAGCAACATTGTTTTCAATGGGTTTCTAATTACATTGGATGCAACAGTCATGCAGTTACAGTTGGCATGTAGTAGAAATGTGAAATATAGATCACAATATGGGGCAGACCTGGATAGTATGAAAATGTATAAAAAGGACAAAAAAAACATGATTCCTGTTGTTCCCTCATTTCTCTTTTTACAACTCTAAGAACTTGTCATATATTCATAACTCTAAGGAAGCAACAGGACTGTATGTGGCCAGAAACAATCGTGAGATTTTGCAAAAAGAAAAGGCTATAGGCCACTGAAGCCAACTCATTCCATATCAGAAAGCTGAAATGCTGAATATGGTTTAGATTCTAAAGTGATGAAATTAATGCAGCACCTTTGCAAAAAAATAAAAAAAAAATGCTACAACAGAATGCTATTGTATACTTGGTGTTTGCTCCACTCAGAAACAGCTTGGATTTATTAATTAATTAGCCCTGTTTTGCTATGCTATAATGGCTTAAATGATCCTGAGGTTACACTTTCTCAGGAAGTAATCCTTACAACCACATCAGTACTTAGACAAGCACAATTTTTTGTGACGCTTGAAGGAAAACACAATCCTCTCCCACCTTGTCTCTAGTATAGAAGAGGAACTGAAGAACTAAAATAGAATGAATGCCCTAGATAAAGAAAACAGAATCGGTTGGATAGAAAAGGAAGCAGGGAGAAAAGGATCTGGATCAAATTGCTTTCTTCTTCTGTAGAGGCAGCAGCAGCCACAAAAAATTTTGAAGATTGAAGATGCTTCTTGTGATTTGGTGGTGGAGGTTTCTAGCACCAGTGGCTGTCCCTGTGTTAGAGACTTGAGTCTCCCCATCCTGCCAACTGCTGCCATGGTAGGTCAGTCAAATGTGGGCAAGATGATCCTTGCTTATTAGATGAAGCAATGTTGTTGATCCAGTGGGCAATGTAGCCAGCAGGACTTACATGTGCAAAGGTTATAAGTGAGTGTATATGTGGGGGAGGGGAGAGGACAGTCATCCTGGCCTGAGTCCCTTTATTTCTTGGTGGGAAAAGTCTTTGGTCCAGGCCTGAGTCCTTGCTTCACCCAGCAAACCAAGACTTATTTAGCTTGTTCTCATTCAAGGCTGTCACAGTGAGATCTCGGAGGTTGCCTGAAGAGTCTGCCCAGTGGTCCGTTTTTTGCCACTGTGCCGACCAGTGTCCCCCCGTCGGTATGGCTGGATACGTAGACCTGCCACAAAAGAAAACTCAATTATGGCTTTTGAAAGTACATATTCTCCACCCAACCCCAAAAAAACCCCATAGAACATTTTTAATAAATAGGGAAGAAATTATTTTACCTGCTTCTCAGTAGTATTCACTATGTTTGAAAAAATGTTGGGGTTCCAGCCTTAAACTTTTGTTAAAAGTATCTAAAATTTGGCTGTTGCCAAGAATACTTTAGAGAAACCCTACATCTTTGCATCGGACCCTAAAATTTCAGTACAAATTAAAAATAAGCATGTATCATAAAAAGTACTTGTTTTTTGCTCTTTACTTGGGAAAGCAAGATGGATATAATGGGGAGATTAAATCTCCAGTCATGATGCTCATATGGAGAGTGTAAATTTTTCTGTCAGATGAGAATTTGAGGATAAAAAAGAGGGTCCTTTTTGGGCCATTCTGCCAGACTCAATGAGGATAGGTGCTCCAAATACATTTAGAGAATCTCCTCTCTGTTGGAAAGAGTTAATCTGCCATGCTAATTCATATCCCTTCCCCCAAATAAATTCAGCTCCTGCTGCTGACCAATGTTACCTAAAGCCACAAGTTACAGTGGGCTTTCTTCATTGAAGCTGGCATCGCAGAAGAGGCGAGATGAACGTTTCCCCGTCCGAGCAGTAAAAGGAATAGTTTTCAAAGCTAAAAAAGGACAGTTCAGGGAGGAAGGAAGAGGAAAAAAAGAAAAAAGAAAGGAAAAGCAGTAGGCAAGTGAAAGAATGGGTTGTACAAAGAAATATACCTTGATAGTAAGTTGCATTACTCTACTTACTACAAAAGGTATCTAGAGAAAGGCTACCTGCTCTCTCTTAAGAGACTCCACAGCCATCCAACCCCAACCCCTCATGTCATATGCAAGGTCAAGATGCCCTTGAATGAGCCATTGGCTGAGTCCGTGCACTTTCCTTGGCAATACTATCTGAGTGATTACCCACTTATTTTCTCCTCCCAGGCTTCTCAGTTTAGTAACAACCTCATTTTACCAGATGTCCCCCATCCAATACTAACAGGTTGCTGCTGTGGAGAAAAATAGGAAGCAGGAGCATTATGGATACCATTCTGAGTTCCTGACCGAGGTGGAATATAAATCAAATAATTAAGGCTGACCTCCTCAGTTTCTGAAATTATCACAGTTGGCTAGATGCTGATGCCATGATACAATGTTAATCCCCAAATTCCCTGTTTGCAAGATGGATGTATTCTTTGAGAATCCAAGGCAGGAGAAAGATATTGGTATATCTAAATTGAGTGTGGTATCTTGCAGGAGTTAGTAAAAGCAAATGAACATGACTTCCAAAAGAAGTGATAAGGCTTAAGAAGGGCAAAAGAGAAGCAAGTCAAAAGTCAGAAGTAAATGAATAGCTAGTGTCAGAAACATCCTTTAAAGTCCCACAGAGCTTCAAGATCATGAATCCATGTATAGCTAGCTTCTACCAATACAAATTTGCCAAGAAGATAAATCCAGATTTAGGCATGAATTGGGATTACAGAAGTAGAGATACTTATTACTTTTTCCCCCACAGCCTTTCTGCGTTTCTGAAAGTGCTACATGGAAGGGGCGGTGGGGGTGGGGGGGAGAACCAGAAACAAAGGTACTTTCCATGATCAAAGCTCTGCTCATATATTTTAATTTTCTATGACTTTCCTGAAAATGGGAAAGTTTCCCATTTTCACTGTACTACAGCTTGCTTTCTTCTACAAAGTTTCCATCCCCTGCATAATGTAGTATTTTTTAGGGCTGGAAGGGGAAATTTGCCTTCATCAATCCAGCTGTATAACTCAATCTAAACTCATCTTACTCATGGTGTATATCACGAGTGTCAAACTCGCGATGTCACGTGGCGTGGCGTGACATATCGCAACTTTTTCCCCATTGCCGGCAATGGGGTTGGCGTGGTTTTGGTGTGACACATCTGGCCCGCGGGCTAGCAGTTTGACACCCCTGGTGTATATTCTTTGTACACAATTTCCTGGATTTTATCTTCTATTTCTATTGATGGATTTACATAGTTTAATGTTTTGATAGTGCTTTGAGCATATTACACCCGAAGAAAAGAAACTCAGACAAGGCATGGCTTGTAATCAATAATTATCTACTTCATTGTTATTCCCTGCTATTATTAGTTCAATTTGGCAGGATAAAACTGTAAGAAAAAATATAGTTCACATCTGCAATAAGAAAAATTAAGTGGGCAGCTTAAATGGATCTTAGAAATGTGCTACATAATACTATCTTCTCAACAAATGTGGTAGGGACCCAAAGAAGTAACATATGCCAGCTTATTGCTACCCAGAGATATGCAGAAAGATCCTCAACAGTACCCATGCAATGAAAAATATTGCCACACCTCATTTGCTTTCTCAGCTAGAACCAGGTATCTAAAGAGCAACAGTAACTCGGAACAAATTATTGTAGGTCACAAAGGATTAGTTTTCCCAGTCAATAGGATTCTGAGCAGTTCTCACTTCATGTTTGGGCCTCTAGAGAGGATTTGCAGAGATTTCAGACATTTTTGATAAATCTGTCAATTTCCCTTCTCACCTGAAATAATGTCTTCAATGGCACCATCCTTCTCTTCATAAATGAGAGGCTCCTTCACCATCTGCTTTTTCTTCAGCTCAGCTATGAGGTCCATCTGTTGTCGCTTGGCCTTATGGGTGGGAGATTGCTAAGGAAGAGAAATTGTTGCTATGGTTACCCATGTATCATGATGAAAGTGAAGATGTCTGTAAAGCTCACCCAACAGTGATGTATAGGAAGTTAGTCCACTTATGAAGAAGAATATGTTGTAGATTTTGGAAAACGAGGAAAGGATGAGAAAATCTTAACCCATACCTTGGGTACTGCCTGTTCCTCCTTGCCAGGGGAAATTGACTCCTCTTCTTTGGCAGCTGCTTCTTGCTTCTTCCACAATTTGATATCTTCCTCTGCTTTCTTTATATTAGTGGAATGAGAAAAAAATAACAATCCTATTAAGCAAACATGGATATCTCAACTAGACTATTGTTTTTCAACCTTGGTAACTTTGCTGGTGAGGAATTCTAGGAATTGAAGTTCACACATCTTAAAATTGTCATTGTTGAGAAACACTGATTTATTATACAATGAGATGTTTTCCCCTCAACAAAGATTATGGCCCATTTCTCCTTTGCATGCTCTGCTTTTCTTTCTTTGAAATAATCTTGATATCACATGGTTGCCATTTGTGACTTTCCCTTCTGGCTTCTCCATTGACTTTCTTTTCAGAAGCTGGCTGTGAAACTTGCAAGTGGCAATCACATGACTACAGAAAACTGTGATTTAATTGTCAGCTGGTTGCCTAGCCCCTGGATCGAGATCATGTGACTGTGGGGATGCTGCAACAGCTGAAACGTCAAGCACTGGTCAATAATGCCACGTTCAGTGCCATTAGTTGAGCAGTTGCTGAACAAGTGGCTGTTTAAGCAAGGGCCATTTTTAGGAGGTTTAAATATCTTTCACTTGTTACCATAATACCATGATATTAATGCATTGATTAAGGCCACACTAAAAATCTTCCTATTTGAAGCATTCAAAAATAGCTAGGGAGAGTCCAGGATGTGGGGTGATTCTATGTATAATAAAGATGGGAAATGTTTGCCCTATCTGACTGAATATCAAATTCCAGACCTTCTATTTGAATTCTGCTAAGGATTTATTGATGCCTAAAATATGTAAGGCTGGTTTTGAGAGAACCCAATCTATCAGACTGTGGTCAATTTGCTTTCATAGGGTGGAATCAAAATCTATTATTCATAGTAAGATGAGCCAAGGAAGTCCTCCAATGAATTTACTTTGCCAAGACATTAAGGGCATAGTTTTGCATGGGCCATGCATTACTCTCTTCTTCAGATCCTAGAGCTTCACTCAACCTGTTAATGAAAGAAGCTTGTTAGTGAGAGTTGTGAGAAGTGTGTAATTGTTACATTTCTTTTAATGTATAAACTTCTCAAATATGCATGCATACTAATATGCAGAAACTTTCTTTTTTACTATTAGAACGAATTACAATATAAGAATGAGCTGCTATTATTGGAAGAAACTATTGTAATACCCTTGCTTATGAACTTCAATTACATTCATGCAATTCATCAATAAATAGTCCTTTACCACGAGGTTGTTTTGTATCCCTGCAATAATAATTGTCACGAAAACATTAGAAATTATTAACAGCAAATGCCATCCACAGAATGATACTTTAAAATAAGACAAGAAAATGAGGTAATTTCCATGATGGACCATAGCTTAATAGTTGCAGTCAATTAAACAATTTGGAAGAGAACTGATGGACTCAGTCAACCTCCCTCCCCCCACCTGAATAGATTAATTTATACCTTAACATTTTTCATAATTATTTAATTAATTTCTGCACCACAATTATTGTCTAAACTTTACATTGATTTAGTGCAGCCCTCTCCAATGTGATGCCCTCTAGGTTTAATGGAATTATGCATTTCATAACTCCCAGCCCAGGTGATTAATGAGGTTTTAGGTTAAAGAAAAACTGGTTTAGTATATTTCAAGAATTCAAGGCTCCTTATATCCACCTTCTGTCCAAGCTTTACAAAACTTCAGTAGAGGAAACTACTTTAATAATATTCATATTGCAAAGGTGGCACGGAAAACAGAAGAGAGTAGCCATCTCCAGAGTCCATGATTCAGGCATGAGATAGTCTCCTTGGGTCATTAGGCTGCAACATTAGGTTACAACATATTAGAAACAGGTTTTTTTTTTGTTTACCTGGTATGCTTTAATAAAGCGCACAAATGTAGGGAAGAACATAGTTGGGGGAGTAGTCTTGGGATTCTCCCCAAAGTATTCCACTGTTGACTCATATGCCTCCTATTGAGCAAGCACAAACAATCACTGATTCACACTTATAAGAGCCATTGTGTCAATCACAAACTCATTATTGTCTGTCTGTCCTGTCTGTCTGTCTGTCTATTAAAAGATTAGAACAAACCAACATTAAAATATTATTAAAAACTGTGCTAAAACCATGCCTACAAGAGCCAAGAGACAGGCCAGGGATGAGATCTTCTTACCCTGTCAACCACCTTCAGTAGTGAGCAGCCTCCTCAGGGCTCCAGGCCAACCGGCAAAGCCAGGTTTTGATACCCTTCCAGAAGACCAAAAGGAATGGGCAGTTCTCATCTCCAATGAAAGAATGTTTCACAGGGATGGGATCACAGCAGAAAAGGCTCTTCTCCTTGATCCTGCCTGCTTCAATTTCTTAGCAGACGGGATTCATAGCAGGCCTCTTCTGATGGCACAAGTGGGGCAGGTTTGTCCCATCAGGGAGATACAGCTCCTCAAATACCCTGGACCCATGCCATGTAGGGCTTTAAAGGTAACAACCAACACCTTGAATTGGACCTGGAAGCAAACTGGTAGCCAATGCAACTTGCACAGTAACTGTGTTATAAGTGGAGCCTTAGCAGCCCCCAGAACTGTGCGCACCACTGCATTTTGCACTAACTGCAGCTTCTGAATACTCTTCAAGGATAGCCCAATGTAGGGTGCATAGCAGTAATCCAGCCAAGAGATGTCTAAGGCATGAGTGACCATGGATTGTGCGCAGGGCCTCACAATCCAGGTAACAGCACAACTGGTGCACAAAATGCAAAAATTGCACAAAGCCCCTCCTAGACATCAAGAGTTAATGATGATAAGTCACCGGGTCCTCTTGCACCCATAGCATCTTGCCTGGGTTCTTTTGAAGCCTGTGGTCCCCTCATCCAGACCCTTATAGCCTCCAGGCACTGAGAAAGGGTAGTCACAACATTGCTTAGATTTTAAGTCTATGGATGTATAGAGTTTACAAACATCCATTTAAAACATGATTTATAGTTTGAGAATTCATAAATGGATTGTAGAAAAAGAAATACAGTTTTATTTCTCAACATGGATGAACTCTCTTCCAAGCCCACAAACATCGTATTGTTGCGATAACCTTTTAAACAAAGCCCCACTTTCTCCTTACCTGCGCAGTTTTACTGTCTGCCTGAAGCTTTTCCATCATTTCTATGTTCATCTTTAGGAAATCTTTGAGTACAATACTGTCATCCTGGCGCATGAATTCTTTGCGTGCTAGCTCCATGCCCCGCTGTAGGCTTCTCACATCTTGAAGCACACTGTCCAGTGACACTATAAAGGTGGGAAGGAAAGAGAAAAAGCATGGACAGGTGAAGCAAGAACAGCCAATTTGGACTACTTCCACCTCACTTACTTTCCCTTTTAGATTCATTTTTTTATAGGGCAGATCCTCTTCTACCTATTGCCATCCTGTATTTTCCATAGGCAAAGAGAAAAAGCAGCACTCTATTTTTCATTAGGAAGCTGACTCAATGTTTTCTTCTTGCCCATAACCTACCACTCCATACCTGTCCCTGCTTTGTCCAGAAAGTGCAGCTCACTGGAAAAGTTCAGGAGATCAGAATATTTTTCTTGGATCACCCGCACTATATAATGAAGTAGTGTCTGTTTCCGGTTTGTTGATTTCATGTCCAGAAGCTACAGAGAAAAATAGCAATTAGGATAGGAAAAAACTAAGCTATCAAGCCGTTACAGAACACTTGCCCTTTCTTTTCCTGCAATTTTCTTCCCATTTCTGCTTAATTCCCATTGGTTTTGGTGATATATTATATAAACATACCTCTGATATTGTGAAGACATGTCCTTGGAGTACAGTATCAACATTCCCGATAAGTTGAACATCATCAGGAAGCCCAAGGTAAGGAAATGCCGAATGGCTCAAACTATAGTAGCTTGGGGAAGATTACTAAAAAGCACAACCTACTGCTATTATGAAAGCCTGTTCTGAAATGCTGAGGTGCACATATTGGATGGTGTGTGTGGCCAATGCATAATTGGAACTCAGTATCTTGTTGCTCTCAGCCTTAGCTCTTTCCTGATTTGTGGCCACAACCAACTTTCAAGTTCACAACCTACTATTTGGCCATGTTTTTTCTCCTAAAAGCAGGTCCTACGGATTCCATGCCTCCTTCCCACTTACCGCATCAAGGCTCTGCAACCGGAATCCATAAGCTGCTCCCCGTTTGCTGCTGTTCAGATAATTCCCAAATGCCAGGACAATCTATGGAGAGGCAGACAGGCAATCAAAATTAGTCATATTTAACTGGAATCTCTTAACTGAAAGCATTGATAGGCCAGGGTATAGGAAGGATATCATTTTATGTGATCTCATATGAATGGCCAACTACTGGAGGGGAAAATGGATATACAACAATAATGGCTTTGAAAGATTATACATATTCATGAAAAAATATGAATGGTTATTAATAATTATACTGATTTTACTATGTCTTTGATTCCCAGTTATCTGAGGAAAGAGTGAAAACTATTGCCCTCAGGTTCCACCTTTAGGCTTGGGAAATGAATGTCTATGGTGACTCTGATGTCTTTATAGCATAATATTTCTGGACATGCATAATAGACCAGAGTTCTATATGATAATCAATTGGTTGCATCACATAATCCAATAAGGTCATGAATCAAAGGAACCCACATAGCAGATCCTGTCTACTGTCAAGGTCCAAAAATTCTTTCTTTCTTTCTTTCTTTCTTTCTTTCTTTCTTTCTTTCTTTCTTTCTTTCTTTCTTTCTTTCTTTCTTTCTTTCTTTCTTTCTTTCTTTCTTTCTCTTTCTTTCTTTCTTTCTCTCTCTTTCTTTCTTTCTTTCTTTTCTTTCTTTCCTTCTTCCCTCCCCCCTCCCCCCAACCACACCCACACCCCAAATTCACATAGAAATATACTGGGAGACTTCTGTTGCTTAATGTTATTAAAAATGCCTGCCAGTATGGTATACTGAATAACTTTGAGACAGTCCTATATTCAGTCTCATGGGATTGTTGTGTGTGTGTGTGTGTGTGTGTGTGTGTGTATGTGTGTGCGTATGCAGGGGAATTAGAATACAATGCATGCCACTGATTTCCTGGAGGAAATGTGGTATACAAACCTAACAAATAAATAAAACAAATAAATGAAAGTATTCTAAGGTTTAAGAATATGTAGACAACAGGGTGCGACTCAGTTGTCAAAATTCTGGGAGCCGACTTAATTATTACTACCCAAGACCAAAGAAAAATTGTCCTTCAACTTAAATGGTTGTGGAGACCTCTTTATCTTTAAGGAACCTCACCTCTAAAATCTGACGCAGTTTGGTAGATGACTTGACTGACATTGAAGCAACAATCACAAAATTTAGTTGCTGCAAATGAAATGTGAGAATAACATAATCAGATTTCCTACTTGGCTTGACAACTTCTGACCTTAATTCTGACCCTAATTTCCTACCTACCTTAACTGACATACTTATTGGAACTAAGTGTAAATGTGGACATTTTTAAACTCAATTATCAGACTTCCAACATTTATATTTTGTATACATTTCATTTTCCTGTTTTGTGACTTTACTCCAGAAACATTTCTTAACACTTTTGATTTTTTTTAAATCGTGAAATTAGAATTGAATATTTTGAATACAATCAGAACAGAAAAAAAACAATTATTTTTTTAAAGCACCATTTTAGCGGCCAGCACTGTTAGATACTGCATAAGATACTTAATAATCCTAGCTTATCATGCAAGGTGTAAACCTGGATCTTTTCAAAACGAGATAATTGCAACCTTTTCCCTGAGGTAATATAAAAATAGCTTGAAAACTTGATGACAAACCCTGATAATGCCATAGAAATTAGTTTCACATAATGGCTTGGCAAGGCCTTGAATTGCTTCCACAATTAGCACGTTCATAGAAGAGAATTTCTGTAACACTACCATCACCAATAAATACAAACCCTACAGCAGTCTCCATCACCAGTTTCTCTGTGAATTTCCCCTATAGTTGGGCTACTGAATATGAGTAAACTTTCACAGGTATTGCTGCTGAAATTTAAGTATTCTTCCCAGAGAGACTGTTCCTGTTCTTAAGTTTTACTTTTTATACCAGGCAAAAAAGGTTAAAAAAAACTTTAAAAGGATTTGCTGCCTGCTGCTATTTGATGTCTTATGTGCCAGATTTGTTGCTGTCTCTCCCAACAACACTGGATACTTAAAAATGCTATAGTTAGCCCTGGATCTACTTCCTATGCAAAGTTGCAATTTTCATTCTGCTGCCCTTATTAAGCCATTCAGCACATCATGCCTTTTTTTCTGCCATCTGGAATAAATAAGAAGACAGAAAAAGAAGAAAAATACTATTTTAAAAGAATCATCAATCAGGATACTATATCAACTTTTATAACCATTTTTATACTCTTCCAACTGATATTAATCCAAGATATTACTGATTGACACTGCTTCTTGGTTATAATCAGTTGCCTGCTTTGTTCCTTACTGGCAGAAGGAGTTGTACAGTATCTGCAAAACTGCCTAAGAATGTCATGATGTTCATGCGTTCTGTTAGGCGGGGAATTTTGCTGAATTTGATCATGAATTGGTCCTCATCGGAAAGCTCATCCAGTGGATGTTGCTCTTTTTCATATTTGCGGATTAGTGTCATCTCATATTCCGTTGGGATGAAGCGCATCAGTAACTCCAGAAAATCCAGACTGAGGGTCTGTAAGTCATATCTAAACAAGAATAAAGTAAGCCAGGAATAACTAGTTAGGTAGGAAAGGACTAAACTGTTTGTCTAGGTTACAGAACTATATGTCATTGCAGTAAGTAACTTCCCATCACAAAATTAACCATTTTGCATATCTAATCTGGATATCAGGAACATATACATACGTGTTCACTTCAGTCTTCCCTCTTGATTGGCAGGTGGAATTCATGAAAAAATGTGGACATACTTACGTCTGAATGGCTTTGCAAATGCTGTCGATACTGAGCCCCCCTTTACGGAGGGTGATGGCCAGGTTCTTTGCCCGGTTGCATTCAATCAGTGAAACCTTAGTGGGAACTTTCGCTAAAGTTTTTGCCTTCATGGAACTGAGTTCTTTGCTTGAACCCTGAGCTTTGGTTTTGAATTGTTCTTCAAAATCACTCATGTCAAGCTCCTGCACCAAGGAGAAGCCAAAATAAACAGAATGATATGTATTTGGTGGCCAGGGAAGAGAATAGCAAAGAAAAAAGTAAAGGACCACCTACCTGAAGGACTTTTTCATCATTGAGTTCATTGAAGATGGTCCCATTGATCTGGTTAGGCTTCAAAGCAACCCAATTGAAGACAGGCATACGGAATTTGGTCTGTATAGGCTTCTTAATCTTGACAGCTTCCAACGAATAAGAAAGTTTGTAAGTGCTTTATAAATCTCTACAATCTCAGTTAGAGATTTTTCTCTTCCCAATTTTATTTTTCAGAAAGAGCCTTCTTACAAATTGGGCATAAGATGAAAAAGAAACTTTTATCTGTGATAAATTGGATGTGGCTAAATCTTTCTAAGCAGTAGAAGCATTGACAATCATTGATAAAATATTGGATTAAGAAGACTGGGTTCAAATTTATACAATTTATGCAATTTCATGAGTGCCTAAAGAGTGAAACTGGCTAATTCCCCCAACATATTAAGCCATAAGATTGCTTATTTATTTGGAAATGAGTCTCGCAACAGGGACCTTTGGCATAATACAAAAATTAAAACCCACCAATTAAAACAATAACCCATGGCATTCTGGATAAATGACATTGCCAAGCAACAGGGCACTGCATCAGCAACAGGGCTAACCTAATCCCCAGACCTGAACATTTGGGGGAAAAGCCAGGTCTTCAGAGCCCTGCAAAAGGCCACCTGGTTCTCCAAGAAGTTGCTATTCCACAAATCTGGCTAAACTATACTTTAGGAAGTATAGTTTTTGACTTAGCAGTAATGTATGATCTCAGCCATGCGTGGCAATGCAATAAATCAGGGTTAAACAAATCACTGTTTAGCACTATATTTAAACCCAATCATTGTCTTTCAGCATAATTCTTTTTTTATGAATGCCGTTTTAAGCAAAAGCAAGAAATAAATGCAGTAACTAAATAGAGATAAGCCAACTCTCAGCATGGAATATAAATTCTACCCACTTCTTAATTTCTAGCCCTGAGTATTCTGTAGGCTAGAAGCTAAAATTTGGAGTTGAAAGATCTTAACTTTAATTATTTTAAAAGGCTGCTGCCTCTGTTATCGAGGAAAAACTTGGTAATGTTATATATTCATATAATATAGTCATATGATATTTTAAGAAAGAGCAATTGAAAAAAGAAAATGTCTGGCAAGTAATTTGCCATATTTCCTCTCTTCCCAGTGTTATTATTTCTGGTATCTCCTCCTACCATCAAATTTCTGTCCTCCTCAAGAAAATCATATAACATTGTTAGGAATGTACCATGTAACCTGTTAGGCTGAAAATCTGTTAGGTTCAGCAAGTTTTACTGAGCTCATCATGATTCTGAATAGACATGCCCACTTTAGAATTGCCCTGTTAATTAATTACATGCAAGAACATAAACCTATAAATGATGCTTTAGATTAATTTTAAAAATCCATTTCTTTATAATTACATATTATGATTTTTAAATGAAAATTTTTGTAAAAATACAGAATGAAAATACCATCTCAGAGGAAGTATCCCAACTAAAATAAAACTGAATATATTATTTATATTTAGTTATTTTAAATATTTAGATTTTATCTTTCTGTATATACAATAAGATATTCAAGGAACCATATATATCAGTATTTTTAAATTCAAAGGATGCATTAGAAATTGAACAATGCAGACTATAGTATGAGATTTCAAGTTTTATTTCCATGCAGCTTCAGCTGATTTATTAACTTATGAAAATTTATACATGAATAATATGCAAATAGAATGGCTATTAAGAAAGATCTATATATATACAATTTACCTGCAGTAACTGTACTTGCTGGAAAAGTTGTCCCATCAATCATGGGAGGAGGAGGAGGTGGTGGTGGAGGAGGAGCAACGGGGCCACCAAATGTTAAGAGGAGTGGTGGTGGTGGTGGTGGTGGCGGTGGAGCTTGAGGTTTAGTTACAGGCAGTGGTGGGGCAGGTGGAGGCTCACTGATCCCTAGTGAGGAGGGTGGTGGTGGTGGTGGTGGTGGAAGAGAAGTTGGAACAGGTGACAGCCCCTCCTCTCGAGAAGAATGGAAAGCCACAGAATCATTGCCTTTCATGAAAGGTAAAGGTGGTGCTGGTGGTATTTCTGGAGCAAGAGTGGGGACAGGCGATGTAGATGGGGAGGGATAATCTGAAAGAAACAGAATAGATATGTGGAATGGCTTCTTGTCCTGCCTATTGGAAGATAATCCTGCCTAAATCTCCTGGGGAAGAGAAAGTTATGGCCCAACCATATTAAAATAGTTGTCCCTGTATGATAGGTGGTGATTTCTTAGCTAGTGCATATCATGGAGTGGTCTCCAAGAGATAAGCCATTTGGGAGACCATAGGGTACAAAGGTTGATGTGTTGGGGCAATTCAAATTGGAGTATTGGCTACCTGAGTAATCTTCTATTAAGACAAAGCAATGCAAACAAACAAATCCTCTGTTACATACATAACTGAGGAGGAAAATTTCTAAACCATTCTTGTCCTTGATCTGCTAGCTATATATGGGAATATATTCATATAGGGTAGGGTTTCTCAAACTGTGAATGGTGAACCCTCAGGAACACATTAGCAACTTGGGGTTACAATTTTTACTGTATTTAATAGATGGAAACTTTAACTCAATTTAAATGGTGAAAATCTATTTACTGTACAGTACAACTGAGACCTGTCTATTTATTTACTTATTATGATTACCCACTAGATTAGTGGCTAAAAAAAGATCTTGTAAAAAATATCCAACTGTTATTGAATTTTTATAATCAATTGATAAAGACTACTGATAACTGTGTTCGGCTTTTCTCAGAAACACTTGTTTCCCTCTGGAATTTCTGCCAGCAAAATAGCAAATTCAAATTATTTTGAGTGACTAAGGAAATATATATATAAATAAAGTTCAGTATTTTTAATCCTCTTTATATATAAAGTTGTAAGGTTCTTTAACTCATTTGCTTCGCATGTAGATTAACATTTAATTTGTAGAACTGAGCAATATATTTCTTGCCCAATATAATATTTTGTTTTATTCAATGAGACGTCAGACAAAAATTTACTATAACATAACTATTAACATTGCAGAATTGCAATGTTAAACAATACCCAACAGAAAAAAAACTCTCAGAAATATAATTCTTCATTTATATTGCAAAATGCTCCAAGTAAGGCTTCACCTTGCTTGTTCCATGAGGATGTACCTGTGCTAGTTGATGAAGATGCTTCAATAGTAACAACAGGGATGACCTCAATGCCAATGATGGTGTCACTGCCAGGCCCCCGCTGAATCCGGATTAAACCTTTGTCTTCTAGTTCTTCCAGGTTGTGCTCCAAAGCAGTGTACTGTGGAATTATTTTTAACTCTTGTGGAAGCTGCATTGGGAGCCAAGAAGGACTTCCTGGCTTGTTAACTTTGCTGATTTGATCCAGCTTGTTCTGAGAGAAAATGTTTAGAGAATCATAAGTTTTGAATATAAAATCTAGTGAATTTATTCTGTTATTCTGCATTTGAGCAGGTTTTATTTTCTAAGATCTTGAATATGCTGCTATGGTATGGCATTTATTTTCCTATTTTTTTAAAAAAAAAATTCTGGGTTTATTAGAATAAACAATACATTTTATGCAGTATACTAGCTCATATCAGTTTGAGGAAAAAAACATACAAAGCCAGACACTTCTCAGAGATGAATGTAGCCCATGTCAATGTTACAGGTTCTGAATTTCAGATACCCCTATTTTCATGATTGATCATGACACAGGGGAGATTGATGTGTCAGGCAAACAATATAACCCAGTCAACCAATCCATTCAAGTAATCTTGAGAGATTTAATTTTTGCTCTAAAAGAAATTTGGGACTAAATTAATTTTCTTTTGTTCAAATGGATTTAAAGTCTTCATGTGAACATGGCAGTTATGTTGAGCACATTAATATTCTTCCACTATTACAAGACCTTCTCATCATCCATTACCTCCAATTAATTCTACATTATCTGCCCACCATATGCAGCATGGATACTTGGCCTGATGCAGCAGATCTTCTAATTACATATGCAATTTATTTCAAAGATTCTGAGCTTAGGATTTCTGAACCTAGTTTTAGTTGCACAACTGGAACTATCTATTTTGAGGTTAGATTTCTTCAAGTAAGATTGAGATGAGTTGAATTCTTCTTGTAAGATCTTCTTGTAAGGGAATGTTTTGGATACAGAATGTTTTAAGCTTGAAACGCTTTGCACTTTTCCCCCCCACTTCCAATGAGATGGTGATGCAGGAGGCTGCATGTACTTGAATTCCATCTGATAATTTTAAAATTTATTCAATAAACATAGATTTTTTTAATTGCAATAAACATAGATTTTTTTAATTGGAACACACAGTATCAACTGAGGTTTGAATGCAACAATCTAAATTTACTCCAGAAGTGTGGATATATTGATAACAAAGAATGTAACTTCTTTTTCTAATCTTATTTTGAAATAAATTCTGATCAAAAGTTCTCCTAACACTTTTCTATTTGCTTTCATACCGGCTCATCACTTCTTCTTGTTCTCAGGATCTCCAGCTCATTGCGTGACTGATACAGCTGTTTCTCTAGCTCAGCAATTTTGGCCTCGGATTCATTTTCTGCATCCTGGAGTTTCTCAGTGAGCTGTGAAAAGAATCATTGTATTGAGAATATGTTTTGGGAGGGCCAAACTGTAAAGCAGTCAACAAATATCCTATGTACTGAAGCAAGGATGGACTTTGTGCATGTGAACTCCAGGTGCAGGGATGGAATATATTCTCCTGGTGACTTGATTGTCACCAGCTATCCTACCTTCCTGAATTGCTGCTTCTCGATCATCTTAAGATGTGCATTGTCCATAGAATTTGTTTAGTCAGCCACCCTACCTGTCCAACTTCTTCTTGCAAATCCTCTATGTGTTCCAGAATGGCATTTTTGGTCTCGGTCTCCTCCAGCAAGGCACCAACATCAAAGATGTTATCCAGATAGGCTTGGATCTGCACTTGCAGTTTGTCACTTTCTGTACAGCGCACCTTCTGTTCAATCACAGAAAGGAAACTTTGATTTAAAAGTTGGGTCTGGATGATCATTCTTTACAACGTGAACTTTTGGAATTATAAATGTCAATACGCGGTCTATCTGCATGTGTTTCTTTTTCTTCTGTTTTTTTAATAAAATGTTTGTAGGCATTATTTAATTTTTTTATGACACAAAATCCAAATAAACATGCTAAAAGAACCAGTCCAGCAAATTTTCCCAGAACATTTTTGAAAAATGCTCTTATCACCTCCAAATCTACCGCAAATTTTTTATTCTTTCAAAACCTATATATTATCATTTATGGTGCAGACACTTAATGCTTCAGTTTTAAAGTGAAAGTTTACTTAGATTGAAATGTGCTGTTTATAAGGAAAGTAAATAAAAAAGGCAAATATAGTTATGAGGAACTTAATTCTAATTTCTACCAGTATATTCTACCAGTATATTTCCAAGAGTAATAAAATAGCATTAGCAAAATAAGTAGAGAAGCACACGAATTCTCCATCTCTATTTCCTATTCTGAGTAATAAAATTAGTTATTGTATAACTAATGTCTGTTGCTGGTTTCCAAGAATGGTATATATTTCAGAATTGCTAAGCACTTTTCAAATGCAGAACAATTAACGGGAAATTAAGAGCAATTAAAAATAACCACATACCTGTAGGTACTCATCAAGTCCCAACTGTGTGAACTCATATTGTAAGAAGGCACGAAAGTTCATGTTCTCCACAGAATGAACCACAATATTGATGAACTGCATACAAGCCACCTAGATATTTTGGAATGGAGAAAAAAAGGTGTTTTTTAGAGGATTTACAATTTTGAAGGGCTGGGATTTTGGTGGCTAAGACTCTCTTGGCCTGTGGACTTTTGTTACTTGGTTTTCATACTTTTTGCTTATTACATCCCTACACACAAATATTCGATATATATATTTTAACTAATTGGATATTAACTTTGAGAGAACCAGTTTGGTGTAATGGTTAATACACCAGACTAGAAACTGAGAAATGGTGAGTTCCAGTGCCACTTTAAGTACAAAGTCAGTTTAATGCTCTTGGACCATTCACTCTCTCTCCAACCCTAGGAAGAAAACAGTGGCAAACTACTTCCAAAAGTCTTCCAAGAAAACTGCAGGGCAGAGAGAGAAGGAGAGAGAGAGAGACAGAGATGGAGGGACAGACAGACGGACGGAGAGGGAGGGAAAGATGCCAAAACAAACAAACTGAGAGACTGTGACTTCTTTTCCTGCTATAGACATAAAGCCAACTGGGTGACCTGGAGCCAATCACTCTCTCAGCTTTAGGAAACAGGCAATGGCAAGCTACTTCCAAACCTTACGAAGAAAATTGCAGGACTTGTCTGGGCAGTCATGAGGAGTCAACACAGACTTGAAGGCATCCCAAAAAAATTAACTTTGAGCTTTTTTGAAAATTAAAAAAAGTGTTTACTGATATTGAGAGTTTCAATGAGTTTTTTTTAAAATTATAGGGAATATCATTATATAAATCATTTAGTTTTTAAGCCCCTTATTGATAATTTTAAGGATACTTTATTGAGCTCTTAGTAAAGCCGAATATGCTTTGAAAATGATTCAGAAGGCATGCTTAAGATTTTACCCAAGCCCAAAACACCTAGAGACATTGTTCGTCATACTATCAGTTTGAACAGTACAGGATTTCTCCAACATGTGCTCCATAAGGGCTGATACTTTGAGGATTGCTTTTAACCCTGTTTTCAGGATTGCTTTTCTGATCCCGAAGCATTAATTACTGCATAAACTTAAATTAGGTATAGGAAACATGGCATGAACAGCAGCTAATTTCTTGGCACAGTGTGCCTATTGGAGAAGAGTATTAGAGAAAATCTTATGGGTGACCAAGAAATCAGTCCCTCTGCTTCATTTTGTTACCATGAAATCTATGTTGCTGTCTTCATTTCGGAAATACTCCATCAGCTTCTCAAAACGGTTCTTCTCGCCACAAACCTTTAGGGAGAGAAAGGGAAGGAAGTCTGTTTGATGGCCACTGCAGACCTGCCATGGCAATAAAGAGTTTAAATTATTGGTACACATATTAGTAGCTTCCAGCAACCAAACCCAAGTATTTTATTCTCTGTGCTCTCATGGCAGTCATCAAAAAGGGAACCACTCACTGCTTAAAACACTTCTGTTTTAATTAATTTGTGGAGCATTAGATGGCAGGTCCAATGGATTTTTAGCAAGCCCTATGAGAGAGCAATAATGGTTTAGCCCAGTGGTGGCGAACCTATGGCACGGGTGCCAGAGGTGGCACTCAGAGCCCTCTCTATGGAAACGTGTGCCATCGCCCCAATCCTAGGCCTTCAGCTGGGTTTTATAAAACCTTTTCCCTTTAGGCCTCCACTGCCGTGTACAAAAAAAAAAAGGTTCAATCAATCAGTCAATTTCAACTTCTCGCGGGGAAAAAAAAGATCTTGCAAAGTTGGAATTGATTGATTGAACTTTTTAGTCCTACCTGGTCTGCTGTTACCACTGCAACCATGCCCACCCAATGGGCCACACCCACCCAGCACCTGACGATGCATAAGTGGGTTTTGGGTTGCAGTTTGGGCACTTGGTCTCTAAAAGGTTCGCCATCACTGGTTTAGCCTTTATTGCGTGCTGTTAGTGGCATTCCCAAAAAAAGGAGATAAAATAGGTGGGGCCAGGAATCACCCCACACACACACACAAAAGAGGTGGGGAGAGGGAGAGAGAGAGTATAGTTTTTCTCCCCTTTTGTCACATTTGAAATTATCGTTTGGCAGACAGCTCTTCTGGGAGAAGCTTTGGGGACACATGGCTTTGAGTCTCAGTTTGCACACAAGGCTAGAAAGCCTCCATCCTGATTAGTAAGCTTTAACAATTATAGTCCTGCTATTTGAGTCTGTGTTTCATTGCTTACCAGCTGGCTGACCAGAGTCTAGCTAGCTCACATGTCTCCTATCTTCTCTCACTTACTTTACTCTTTCAGGTCACCAGCCCTAGTTCCTCTGTCCTGAAAAATGACTTCCGTGGGGGAATAATAGAATGCCATTTTCCTCTTTTCCCCAGCACTGGTTCCCAGATTTCCTTGGAATGGAAGCCATGACAGTTTTGGAGAAGAAATCATGACAATTTTAGCACTTTTCTAAAATGAGATGTTTGTAATGGTACTACCATTTGATCTATCTTACTAAAAAAGACAACAGGCTGGTTATCTAGTGTATATTGTAGCCCTGTCTTAGCCAACTTTCTTTTCTAGTAAATAATAAATAACTATATCATAATCTAACTGGGCATGAAAAGTTTGGATTTTGGATTTTAATATAAATCTTACAAATCTTATACAGGCTTCATCTACAATTCAAATACTGCTTATTTGGGATTTCTACTCACATTAATAATATGCACACATTTGAAAACTGCTGTGCAAATGAAACTCAAGGTCACTTCTGGCATTATGGGGGAAAATAATGTTAAATTTAAATTATCTAGATTGTGCCCAATAACAAAATAATTTGAGCTAACACGACATTTATTCCAAAGAATTATGAAAGCTTTATGATTATAATTAAAGTCTCTGTATACAACATTCTAGCAATATACAACAACTCCCAAAATATCTCTTGATCAGAGATACTATTATTACTCTGCCAAGTATTACTGCGATAGCCAGCTCCTCTGCCTATGACCAATGTTGATTTAGGGGGTAGTGGTTTATAAGAGAAGGGGAAAATGAGGTTGCTTCCATGGGGGGCTGTTGCCTCTCTTTTGCCCAGTTGCCATTTATAATGTAGCTAAGTTACCAGATCTAAGAGCAGCAGAGTGTTACATTTTTCTATTGGTCACCCAGATTTTTGAAGCCCCAGTCTTTAGGATATTTGAAAAGCTCAGATGCACTGCTTTCCATCTTTAATGGAGGAACCTTTTCCAGAATTTATTTTGAACCCATGAAAGAGCCAAATATTCTTACATAGAACTAGTCATTTCAGGCGGCTGTAAATGTAAAACTGTAATGACATAAGGGAAAGACCTTGGGAGTTGAGGCAAAGATGGTGCCTCGGGAATAACCAGGTACAAGACAGCATAGCCTGCAGCTAGATTAATGGATGAGGCAACTGGCTTAGAAGAGACCCTCCCAAGTTTCACAGGCTACTAAGGAGATAGTGGGAGAAGCGTACTTTTAGATTTGCAAGATTCTGTTAGTGTAGCTTTACAATAATGTAGAACTAGCTTATTTGCTGCATTTCCTATCAGGTCTACCCAGTGGTGGGATTCAGCCAGTTCACACCACTTCGGCAGAACCGGTAGCTAATTTTTTTATTGCCCAGGCCCAGAATGGACTTCCGGAAGTGGCATCCACACAGAGAACTGATGGTTCACATATTTGAATCCCACCACTGGGTCCACCTGATAAGGCTGGCAAAAGCTCTCAACAGTCACTAAGCTCTCAGTGATAATAAATGTTTCATAATTACTTATTTATAAGAATTTGCTTCTAGAACAACAGAATACTTGGCAGCCTGATCAGTACACAAAGATTACAATATTTAGTATTCATTCCAGTAAGCTCAGTGACATAAACAGATTTTGAGTTAGTGCAATTGCTCTCATTATTTTCACCTTACATAAGTAATATCTGCTGAATTAACTGGTATTCTGGGTTTATCTCAATAACCTTGTTTTTAAGCCTGATTCTCACAAGCCACTTTATCAGCCAAATCGGTACGCTCCCACAGAGCGGGCCTCCTCAGGGTGCCGTCGGCCAAGCAATGTAGGCTGGCGACCCCCAGGGGGAGGGCCTTCTCTGTGGGTGCCCCCACCCTCTGGAACGAACTACCCCCCGAGATCCGGATGATTCCGGATCTCCTTACTTTCCGCCGCGCCCTCAAGACATGGCTTTTCCAGCAAGCGGGCCTGAC